CGTGGGTTAAGTAAGTCACTTATTTGTTCAATCGCTGTCTTCCTCTGAGTCAGCTTACACAGTGCTGGGTGGCTCTGAGATATTTTGAGCTGAACTTGTCATCGCTTGACTTTATAGCTCAGAAGAGGCGTGGTGTGTCAAAGGGGATGGTATGAGAAATCAAGTACTATTTCCTGTCATAATCCACCCTGTCATGTGTCACCACTCTTGCTTAAATATGACCATCGAGAGCTGCTCATCTACACACCCCACTCCCACCATCATTGTTACACTAACCACAGGCTTCAGCAGCTCAGTGTTTGTTTGATACACTGATACAGCATCACTGCTATTTCTTTGAATTACAATCATGACTCAAACTGAAATTCTCATTTACAAAGGACTTGCAGCAGTTAAAGATTGTTTGAATAAAGCCAGAATCATTAAGTTCATTTTGCTTATCTGCTCATGACTCTAACTGCTTCTGGGCTCATTATCTTTACTTGAGGTGTTAAAAGGATTGCTTACCCTAAAATGGATTTGATTTGATTGGAAAGTCTTGATTTAAGGCCCGTTCACACCAAGAACGATTTCAAATGTTCTATAATGATAATCATATTGGCGTTCACACCAACAGACGATAATGTTCTGTTTATTCTAAGTGTGTTTTGTCGTTTTGACGTCTATTGCTCTTTAAAAGCGGGTGGATTCTGAATGGCTGTCAATGTTTTCATTCATTTTTTATTATGGAAAAGGTTATTCAAGTGATTCTAGGGATATCATTCCTCTGTTGTTGTTAAAGTTGTTGAGCGTTTATTGAAACTTTATAGGTATCGTTAGCGTTCTGGTCCTTGGTGTGAATGGGCCTTCTTTACCCTTTCATGTCGTTCCAAACTCATATGACTTGTTTTCTTCAGCAGATCACAAAATAAATCAAATTCGGTACAATATTAGTACATCGAGAATCAATTTAACACTTAACTCTTCCTCCACCATTGACATAATTTTTCCTCTGTTATGACTCGACGCTTCCCCGCATTGAAAGAATTGTCCGGATTTCTGCATTTTCACTGTTATATGGTAGGGGCCGCTATTCTGAAAGAATGCAGAATCTCCAGATCAAAACATAGGCAAAAAAGAGCACAAACAAGCGATAAAACTAATCTTTGAAAATCAAAATTTTGAACTTTAATTAATTAAACTTACCCACAAGCATTGATAATTGTTTTTATTGTTGTTTTAAAGCATTTTTTTACACAGTAAATCATGGTGGCCACTAGCTCGTGTTTGCCATTTGATGCTCTTACACCATAGACAGAATAAGAAGTGGACAGAGCCATCTCATTGGAAATCCATTGAGACAAGTGAAGCCCTTTTTTAGCTATTTTTTTTAGGACTTCCGTTCCTGATGCACAGACTCAAACTGACTCAGAGCTTGACGACGTAGATGTGACGTGAGCAACCCGTCTGTCTTCTAGTGGCTGTGGCATGAGAAATCTGAATCATTCCCTTCCGAAACTTGCAGAGGCGGAGAGTGTGAGTAGGAGCTGGGTATTCTGCTACTTTTGCTAGGTATTCTGATTAATTATTTTGTCATTTTGCCTCCACGTTTCCCCGATTGCCTGTGAGCTTCTCCTCCTGTCCATACGGTAATCTCTCTACTGTGCGACAAAGAGTCGTGTGGTTATGACGCAATCGTTAGCCTACTTTTACAAAAAACTGCTTCTACGGGGCCATAACATAAGCTACAATGTAATGGAGCATTTTATACATTGTCGTGTTTCTTTAGAAATAAATAATGGACAAATGGAGCCTTCAAACGCCTCAGATGTAAAGTTATTCGCTGTCAAAGTGACGCCAAAATGAATGGGAGTCAATGGAAATGCTAACGCAAGTGAACTGCTACAAGATGGCAGCTCCCGCGAGGCTTCAACTAACTTCCGGTCAATGGATTACCCCCTTGTCTTACACTAGTCCAGTAGCTGGTAGAAATGTACTTTGGTAACAGCTATTAAAATGACCAGAAAATAATTGCAGATTACTGCCACCTACTGGACTGGAGAGTCAGACTGGATCTTTTTCCTGCTAATTTCTTGTTTAATGTCAAGAATACCAGTTGCAATAAAAGAAAAATAATTAATAACACCTGGCAAATGATATAAGGGAACAAAAATGATGTAGACATGCACTAAAGAATCTTTTTCCTTCAAACTTCTCGTTTAATATCGAAGAGTACTAGCTGCAAGAAAGCTATCTTGGGTCTATAGTATATATTGTAGATTTATAATAAAATATTTTGCAGACACACATTCAATCCCTCACACCTATTACCAATCCAGAATGGCCCTGAATGCTGCAATAAAGATGATTTCACAGCGATCTCTCCTTCCCACAAACCCATACTCCCCTGCTTCTGTGACGTAAGCCTGTAAATCTCAGGTGCCCGAGGGCTTCATTGACAACCAAAAGCATATGTGGAATGCATATTTTCAAGATCTAATCAGACTTTTCCCTTACGAAATGTGTAGATCTATCTAATGTCAAGATCTATATAGAAGCAGTTAGTTTGACCCAAACAACCACTGTTTTTCTGGGCTTTGCTGATCTTATTTTAGCTAACAACTTGTATAGTCACTAGTAGTGTATATGAATCATCACATGTGACGAAGAATTAGATCTCTGGAGGTTGCATTTCCTTTTTTATTTGCGTTTGCATATCTGTGCTGAATACACTCCAGACTGACAAATACGATACATCAGTTTAAAGATGTTTTCCATTTAAACGCCATATTCCCATATTGATAGAGCGTCTTATTTTATCAGCCTCACATTTCCACACACGTCTTCTCTCCCTCCTGCTCCATCTCCCATTCCCTCTGTGCTTTGCCAATGTAAATGGAAAGCAGAGCATTAGATGACAGCGGAGGATTTGTTCTTCAGCACGGAGCTGCTGGCACTGATCTGTTGCTGAGAAGGGAGTGCGGTGGAATGGGGCAGTTCTCTGTCTCAGATACTCTTGTGTCTGTTGCATTAGATTTAAGTGGTAATCTCTTCTATCTGAGTGTGGTCTCACAGTCAGTCTGGCTCCAGATTCAGCAGTCATGCCCACTAAAACCCAGCGTGTTGGATCTGGTATGTGCCTCCTAGTTTTCCCTGTAAACTCATTCCACTCTTAGTCTGCTCTGTGCTCTCAAGCTTGGGTGGAATGAGGGATATTGTTTGTATTTGTCACATATATTTATGGCTCATGCTTATGAACGGTGAATGGGGTCACAGTGGTTGAGTAGTAATCCGGCGACTGATGATGCATGAGGATCGATCCTCTCGAAACCGCGTCAGTATCGCAAGCATTTACACTTATTTTTCACACTTACACCTCTGTGTCTTAATCATTTTGAATGTGAATGTTACTGACAGGGTCAACCCCCCACACACACACACAGTACAGCTATCACAGCCGTACACATTCAGGCAGACATGTTTGACTGTTGCCACGTGTTTCACATTGTTTTTCAGCACCTCACCTTTTATAAATGCGTCACGTGACCTCATAATTTTCTTCAAATCATTTGCGTTTGGCTGTTTTTGGGTGTATGAGTAAACCCCCCCTAAGAAATGTGTCGAGCTGGGGTCAAGTGACTCTAAAGGCCAATTTATACTTCTGCGTAGAGTGTGCGCAGTAGGTACGAAAGTAGGATACGCACAGACGCGTCCCATAACGCGTACCCTTCGCCGTAGCCTGACGCGCACCTCCTCAAAAATGTAACTACACGTCGTGACGACACGGACCGCAAGATTTGTGATTGGTCGGCTTGGTAGCATCGCATTTCCTCCTACGCATTTCCACACGTACCATCTCCTCCGATGTCTTCTCTCATTTCTGCCTTACAGTTTTAATAATTTCACTGTTTTTCCACCTCAATAAGCACCAACTCCAACATGATCCGCTCTCTTTCAGTCGCCATTGCTTGTAGTAACCTAGCCGCGAGGAATCTAAACACAGTGGAACATTAAAACTCTGCGCCGCCAACTAGCGTTTCGGAGCAGTACTGCAGAGCAACCAAGACCTGAACGCAGAAGTATAAATACTCCCAATGGGCGTACACTCGACGCAATGTTTCAATGTTTTGAATCAGAATCAATGTTTTGATAGTGCCTTAGTTTTTACAGTTTTGGGGGGAATAAACCAATGAATTGTTGGCTTACTTTGGTTTGTTACCACCACAACGATACAAGTTCACGTTAAGTTTTAGCTGCTGTGCATTGACCACGCATTCATAAATGCTTTTGCATACCTAAAGTGTTTTTGTGACCCAAGCTATTGCACATTCGTTTATGAATGCATACTATGTCTGTAAGTAATTTTATTACTCTAAGTGTTGCATGCGATAGCTGAGGAGTGAGAGAGACACAAAGACCCAAGAGACAGGGTGTGGGGCAGTTCACATCTGTCTGTGTGTGTGTGTGTGAACGATGTGTGTAATTTATCTGAGATCTATGTCAACCCGACCACACTGCTCTTGTTCCCCTGTCTTCCTGCTAAGAAGGAAATGGCATGAATGCACAACTTTGCGACCTCAAACCAAACACCTTCATGGGCAGTGCACCCTTACGTGTCAGATGATTGACAATCTCTTTGAGATGTTATAAATGCGAAAGCTGGAGTTGACGCATAATAATTGTGATGTCAAAGGAAACTTTACATTATAGTCTTAATTAATGAGTGGGCAGGCGCCTTGAGGGTGCAGTTCAGATTAGATACTCGACTTTATAGCAATTTCACGCTGTAGTACTTCTGATAGCTCTTGAGGACTGACCACAGGTTTAAAACTACTTTGTTGCTTGATTGACTATGGCTTTGAGCTTCAGGTTATCCATTGAAGTACTTTTCATGAACTTTTTGTGTTAAAAAGTTTCGAAGAAAGTGAACTAAATAAGCTCTGAGTAACTTAGCTACTTGTAAGAAATTCTGACTGACGAAAGGGATAGTTACCATCTTTTTTGTCTTGTTTCTTCCTCAGGTAGTTAACGGACACACTGCACAATGCGTGAATACAAGTTAGTAGTCCTTGGATCAGGAGGTGTCGGCAAGTCTGCGCTGGTAAGTGGAGCCCCAATCTTCCCTGCTTCCTTTCTTTATCCCTCTCAATGGTTTACGGTATGGGCAAAAACTGTTCTTCAAAATATCTTTCTTTATATTCTACAGAAACCAAATCACATAGGCTAAAATAAGTTTGGAACGACTTTCGACATCCCTTTAATCCTTATTAATTTTTCTTGCCTTTTATGGCTTCTCCATTTCACAAGCCTCCCTCACCATATATAACAAATTACATCCTATATTGGGGGAAAAAAACATATATCTTCTAACTATAAGAATTAGTTTCCTCATCTGAAAGAGCAGCTTTTCTTTTCTGTCCAGCATCCCTGGAGAACATCTGTCTCCAATCACGTCGTTAAAGGTTGTGAGAACTAAACTGGCCTCTGGTTGGTTGCGATGCCCTTTCTCAAACATAGCTGAGTCACGGAAACAGCGAAATGACTGCGCCTCAGTACATTGGCATTTTCTATTTAGTCAGCATAATATATGTCAGAATAGCATGGTGAAACCACAAATAGTTCGGCAGCTCTTCTTCAGAAATTCAGTGGGTCAGAACGACAAAACCCTATGGAAAATTTCTGCTGCTGGCCAAGAATATTAGGCTTGAATTTCCACATTTACCCTGCCGTTTAAAAACAGAGCATGTTTCCTCATGAATTATCTCTTATCATTAAGGTCACCATTTCCTTCCTTAGCTCGTTAGCATGCTAGTACTAATACCGAACATCCCGCTGACACCACTTTGACCTAGTTTGTTCCATCCCAGTGAACTCAAATGGCTCGCCCATTGGAGAGCAGCCACAATGGCCCGACCCACTCACCTCGGGGTCCAACAAAGAGCCCATTGCCTGTATGTGTGCCACAGGGTGTGAGAACCATCCACCTCCATCCACTTCCCTCTCGGCGCAGACCTCTTTCAGCGTAAAGCACATAGACTTTTATTGTCCATTAACCCTAATTGGAGCACTATGGATGGGTCTGGATGAAATGGGCCACGCAGAGTTAATCGTGTTGTAAATGCATTCACATTAAGCTCCTGTCCCGCTCAACGCAGACAACGGGAAAGAGACAAGTCTGTAAAATCAGATCATTACTATGTGGGGTCAGCTTGGTGTCCTGTAATGGAGCTGTGTAGCTACAACAGTGGTCGCCCACTTTATAAGTGCCCCCAGAATAGACGGACAATGTTTTACCCTCATCAGCTGGAACGTCATTAAAAATGAAGTTTATCCATGCAGTCCTATTGGAATCCAGAGGAAGCTTATGCAGCGACTGTCTTCCACAATCAGGCACTGCACAATATTCTGTATTGCTCGGTAGCTCGATCCGTTTGTCATCACGAGGTAGGCATTTATGTTACACATGGTGCGTTCTATTATACCCAACGAACCGACTCGGACCTCGGATATGACTTCACGTCCACACTTCAAGCGTTCTATTTGTTTTGCGTGTCCGAGTCGGAGAAAAAAATGGACGCCACCCGGAAAGCTGTTATAATGGTAGCACTGGCCGAGTACCAGGCACTTACATTAAAAAATGTATTATGACTACACCTTATCACAACGCAGCCATTTGAACTTGAAAATTTTCACTTTATTTAATGTTTTTCATGTTAATCTTCTGTTAGCAACGCTAGCAACGTTAGTAATCGCACTCACAACAACCGATTCCCATACCTACAGGGGACGCAGTAATACGAGTGATTATAATCGTCATTTAAAATACCAAAGCGGTTCAAAAACAATGAAAACAACTCATTCTTACAAGTCACAGGGCGCAGCCATCTTGAATTCCGAAACGGAATTCTTGCTCGGTGTCCTCACGGTTGTCCGACGTCCGAGAGGAGAAATCCGAGGAAAGGGGGCATGTTGCTAGGCAACGTCTGTCGTCCGATTCCGATCTCCGAGACGGATGAATAATAGAACGTACCATTAGCTATGCGTGTAATGTGAGAATCGGTGGGCGGGGCTAAACCGGCCGTGTTGATCTTCTTCTGCTGGGGTGGGGTTTTATCCTCTTTGACGTCATAGTTCCCCCCTTTTAAAAACGAGTTGTTTGCAGAGGCTGGTGTCAATAAAAGCTTTTATTGGACTAACAAGGACGTTTTCAGTCCTGAAACTTATATTCTTATAATATGATGACCTCTTAGATGTCAAAAGCTCAAGGAAAATTTTATTTCTCAATTCATCACCCCTTTAATATACAATACCAGGGCTTGACATTTGCTCACCAGCCACTGTGGCTAATGGTTTTTTAAAGTTACTAGGCATTTTCACCGGCCACAATTTTGACATCGATACGATGTGGAAAAAACTGCCAGATGCTTAACATTTTATCTCAGCAGGTATATTAGGCTGCTGTCACTTTAAGACTGTTTACGTGAATACTCGCCAAGACCGGCATTTTGACATTGTGACATTATTTTGTGTGTTTTTGACTGTGTTACACACCCCTGCTGAAATCCGGGTTGGCAGGTGTTAATGTCAAGCACTGTATATGTTCTAAATGGTTAGAGTAATGGTTCTAAAAATTCAGCTTTTGCAATCACAAAAATAAATGACATTTTAAGATATAGTAATATAGATAGCAGTTATTAAATATATATATATATATATATATATATATATATATATATATATATATATATATACGGTAGTAATGTAAAATATTATATTAACCCCTCATGTTTGGTCTGCCTTGAAAAGTTATATGTTATTACTCAATAAAAAAATAATTTATCCTTGACATTGAAATAGGGTGTTTACTCTTTGACAATTCAGTAATGAAACAGCAACCTTTATTTAGTTAGCTAAAGTTAGCTTACACAGTTGAAGAACAGTAAAGAGTAAACCACACTGTGGTCATGAGTTAGTAGCTATGGTAGGAAATAGTGTCAACATGTATGGCCTAATGGCATGGATTTATCTTTGGTCACCACGAGCGATTTCTGTGGTCTGTTTAGAGGTTACTCATATGTTTGTGTGTTCATGCTAGTACTGCACCCTTGACTACAGCAACTAAAACAAAAAGGAGTAGAGCCGTTCTCAAACATTGACTGAAACTGTGTGTTTTGAGGAACTGCCGTATGACCAGGCAACGCCCTGTTGGTCTGTCCGTCAGATGAGTTGAGGTAGTCCAGGGGACTGCAGATACTCGGACAGGAGCAACAGGGTCAGCTTGTGTTCTAATGATGGATGGCCATAGCTAACACAGAGAGTCCATCTGCCCGCAGGCAGGAGCCGGTCCACTCAGATGGGCATTGTGCCGACTTCTGTGTGCGACCGCACATGCTAATGTGCTGTTGCTCATCGATAGCCTGAAAACAAAAAGTACCTTTCACCTTCCGCAATAGCTTTCGCATCTCTTTCTGCATGTTCAAACTTTTATTCAGCAAGGATGCATTCGATTGTTTGAATTTGTCCCTTCTATTATTTTGAGCTTCCTATTAACAGTTCCCTCAAAAACATTTACAATGATACATAATAATACAGCAAATCAGCATATTGGAATGATTAATGAAGGATCCTGTGACATGGATTGTGGATGCCATCACAGGAGTAAATTACACTTTAAAATATATTAAAATAGAAGACAGTTATTTAAAATTTTAAAAATGCCTCATGTTATACTTTTATTTTTGATCAAATATATGAGCAAAAACATGCGGGGGAAAACGCACTTGCCTCAAAACTTTTAGATTGTAGTGTATATCTATTAAATATTTTTAATGCAATGCATTGGATTGGAATGATTTATTGTAAAAAGTGGTAAACAAATTAAATCAAAATGTCTTGATTCTACGTTTATACATTTAACATTAGATCAAAAAGTTTATTTTTGGTTCTTTTAAGGGTCTTGATCAGCAAATTAAAGTTACGTTCTTTGTGAGGTGTTAAATTGCCCTGTGCTTTTTCAATACCCAAATGAATAATGTAATGCAACAACAAACCCCTTCTTAATTGTAACAATATAATAAGAGCGTTTTTAATATAAGCATGACCTTTACTAATCCTTGGATACCCCTCATCTCCACAATATTTGCTTTTTCACTTGAAGTGGCTGCTGAGATATCAGCATGCTGAGCGTGCCTGTGTGCATTTGATCTAATCGCTGCGAGCAGAGCAATGCACACACACACACACACACACTCCCCTCGTTCACACATCCTCACTGCTTTTTGTTGGAACATTGTAATCAGTGGCCTCCATTGAATTTACATGCCTTGTTTCCACATCTCTCTCACCATATATGGAATTTTATTTTAGCCCACTGTGAGTGTGTGTGTGTGTCCATGCAGCAGGCTGTAGTTCAGAGCTACTGTAAGAAGCAGAGCCAGACAGTGTGTGCGCGCATTAGAGAGGCACTAGTGTAAACCAGCCAGAGAGAATGAGAAACAAAGCTGCAAGATAAAGGACTTGAGAGCATATGTGCCCATCTGACTCTCTTACACATGGTCTGGTCTGTCTGGAGCACATCAGTTAAACCCTGCTGCATCAGCGGCACACATCACCTCACAAACCTCCTCCTAACCCCCCTTCTGAAAAGGCACACATGCACAATGCCCCCCTGCAGGTGCTCTGCGGCCCAGCAACAGCCTTCAGGTGCATGGGGCCGATGAAGTGTGAGGAACACGGGGATTGAGCTCCATCAGCAACAGCAAGAGATGGCTCACTGCATACTGTTACACAACGACTACTGGAATGCTCTGACTGAATACTCAGTTTGCAATAAACATTCTTTGCGGTTTGATCTGTAAATTAGCCACACTCTTGAGTAAAAGGAAAAGGGTTTTTGTGTGTATGCGACATGGGCATATCAATGCCATTCAATGCGGAGACATGCGAACACTTTAGTTTAGGGTATGGGCTATATGCACGCATAAGTTCCGCATTTGACGCAAGGATGCTCGTCCGTTTCCGGTTGTGTAGATTTAAGCGGAGGAGAACCAAGGAAAACGGGATTATAGCAGAGTCTTCAAAATTTACTGTCCTCCCGTCTTTGAAACAAAACGTACATACGTTTAGATGTAATTTTATATATAGTTATGTTTATTTAATATAATTTTAAAAAGAAGCATAAACACAGCGAGGGGTGTCTGTTTCATCTGTTTTTGTGACTAACGTTTCTTTAGTATAACCATGGAGTATAAAATTCACTATAAATTCTCGGTATTGCATTGGACTCTACGATCGGCAGAAGTTATCGAGCATCCTTACATCTTCATCGGAAATACCGCCGTGCATAGAGCCCATTGGACCCTAATCTAAAGTGTGATACATTGTTTAAAAATTATTTACACAAATAAAAAAACTAGTCACACTACATGACATTTTACAAACTAAACTAACCATGCCTTGTTAAAAAGAGAATTTTGAATAAATTAAACAGGTTTCCTCATTTTTTTTAAGTTAAGTCAACCGATCACTTTTTACAGTGTGAGGACTTTCTGAATATAATTTCTTTCTTTTTTTTCCCCTTTTCTTTTCTTTTTTTTTTTTTTGTGTCTTGGTTGGACCACATGACCTGGATTTGACAGGCAAATGTTTTTCAAATATTGATAAGCAGCAAAGCAGATTTTTTTTCCCAAATGTTTTCAAAATATATTTTTGATATATTAATGCATTTTTTTCTTTAATATAATAAGGACAGTTGTCACCCTAACTTTTTTAACATGCCACCCAAAAATATTTCAAAAGGGATTTTAATTCAAAAATTCAAAAAACATTCTCATCATATAAGAGGTGTATTCAAGTTATTGTATGTACAGTATAGGGGATTATCACGCTGATACGTAGTACCTTCCGGATTCTGTGATCTTTGTGCACTGCCACTTCCGTTGAATCAGCGATCTCGCTGGCGAACTGATGAAGGACTACACTAAGTTTATTTATATGGCATCCCTGGTAAATTAGTCTGATTCACTAAAGTGCCGGCAGCAAACAAACGTGCTACCTTGTTTTATTTTAAAGTTTTAATCCAGTTCTTCCTTATACTCAATTCAGTCGGGAATCCATGAAAACTTAAGTAGGGTTGACGTTGTTGGTTAGATTTACAAAGTGGAACAGAGCAGTGACATATATAGCCTTCGTCTCAGCCATTGTTAAACTGTGTCGGAAGTGGACATCCTCAAAGTTGACAAATCCCGCCCATGAAACCCGGAAGCTTAATAATCCCCTATTGATGTGTACAGTCTGTTTGTATTTATTTATTTACGTTTAAGTTTTATATATATTTATATATATATATATTTATTATTATTTTGTGTGGAATAAATCAATAGATCCAGACCCAAAAAAAGAATTTTCATTTTGGGTGAACTATCATTTTGAGATCCATTTTATTCATGCTCGACAGATTTTACAAAAGACATCATTAGCTGACCATATTTGACAGCGCACCGGCACTAATCTAAATGCATCATTATTTCTTCACTCATGTTTGTTTATCTTGATTGCACATCGAGGCATTAGGTAAACAAATGATCTCTTTCTCACCAGGACAAAGCATCCTGTATGTGCGACTGCTTATACAATGAGATCACTCGTACCTCGTGATTGACATCACCTGCCTTTGCTCGTATTTTCTTTCTCCCTATCAGTCTCTTCCCCTCCCTCCTTCCCATCGGGCGATTGTCCTCCTCCCACAGTTGATCTGCATCTTAATGCTTTTCTGTTGTAAATGCTTGTGTGTTTGTGTGTGTGTGGATCCCTGTCCAAACAGAGCCCTCATTAATGAATCAACCCAGGGTGAAGTGTGCATCAGAAAAAGGATGATCAAAGGTCACCCGAGCCGTGGAGGCCCTGAAGCCCCCGCACCTGTGGGCAGCATCGCATGATTTTCATATTCTCTACCACCCCTGCACTTCCTGTGAAGTCACGACAAAGCTGATCACCCTCAATTCGGTCCTTTGTTTCAACACAATTATTCTTCAATCATCTACAATTTACCTCCGGCCTCTGGATAAATCGTTCTATTTTTAAACCGGTAGTTAAACGCCAGGTAACACGTCTCCAGGCAACATCGCAATGCTTTCTGATCCTTGACCAGCGAGTGCAGGTTTCTCTCCTGCAGGGGCCATTTGCATAAACATAGACTGTGTCTTAAGAATTATGACCAACTAGCAGTCTGAGTTTCGGTATCAAATTAGACCAATCTATGCTTTTATTTAACCGACTCGAAAAAAAGGTTATGAACAGTTTTAAAGAAAAACGGACTAACTTGTTAGACTAGCCTTAGCAGTTTTTGCAGGCAGCCCCTGGTCTCTTTCTATGTGAAGTGGACATTCGTTGGCATCATTGACCTTTTCGTATGAGCACCTTGTTTTCAGGGCAAAGACAACCATAATGACACGCTGTGGCTTGTTTATGTCATAAACAGGCGTAAAACCTCTTAGAGCCTTTCGAATGGAATTTCCCATAATCCACTGGAAGTGAAAGTGATTTTGCACTGTGTCAACATGCTCATGTTTGAGTATCGTAACGTTTAATGGGCATGTCTTTTTCTCTTTGTTTTTCCCTCTCTTCCTCCCTTCTCTCGCTCTCCAGACTGTTCAATTTGTCCAAGGGATCTTTGTGGAAAAGTATGACCCCACAATAGAAGACTCATACAGAAAGGCAAGTTCTTCATCATTTTTATTGTGCATCAGTTGTCAAAACAATGTTTTTATAATGGTTTCCAGACTCAAAACCCTATTGAATCTTTTCCTAGTCCTTGACCAACACATGATGTACAGTAACATGCTGTACAGTTGGCCATTATCTCAATATAGTCTATGATTTTATTGTTTTTGGTTGTAAACTCAACCTAAAAATTGTTTTTTATATATTGGGTAACCATGAGTTAGCTATACTACTTTTATAATTGGGTGAATTAAGTACCTTATATAATAATAAAGTAGTACATTATATCAAAATCTCATTGGATGAGCCATGCGAGCCACCAATGTGTAATAACTACTAATATATACAATTACAATATCCGACAGTGTTGGGGAAAGTTACTTTTAAAAGTAATGCATTACAATATTGTGTTAGTCCCTAAAAAAGCAACTAATTGTGTTACTTAGTTACTTTTTATGGAAAGTAATGTGTATCGTTACTTTTATCTCACCTGGGCTTGCTTGCTTGTTTTAGCAACAAACAAACAAACAAAAATTTCAGCTGTCAGTCAAGAAATGGGAAAACAAAGTAACTGGCATTGATTATTTGAAAAAGTAACTCAAATATTTTGTGTAATATGTTATTTTACTAGTTACTTGGAAAAGTAATCTGATTACATAACTCAATGCATAACCCTCAACACTGAGAATAAATATATAAATGCTATTAGAATTAAAATATAACAATATACAGTTGCACATCAGTTTAATTCTATATTTATGTTCTAAATTGTTAAACAACCTACAGTTACACCTATTATTAAATGGCTCCCATTATAATCAATGAAGCTGTCTATAATCAATGAACTGGAAACGCCCATGCTTGCGTCAGATTTTTTTTCAAATTGCACTGCGGGTTTATCATGACAGAATCTCTAACAATTGACACGTTTCTACAGGACGTATTCTGTCCCACCCTAGTAACACACGTCAAAGAAATGCTGTGTGTGTGTGTTTGTGGGATGTCTCATCGACCCTATGCTCAGACTACTGTGTGTTCGATGCTGTTTATATTTTAATGGCCTCAGTCCAAGGCCCTGAGACAAAAGCCATGTCTAAAAATGAACCTCCACTCAAACAGTAAAAGGAAGTCCCTTCTTGACCAGCACCTCCCTTCCTCACCATTGCTTATGCTGCTGTCCCATGGGCACTTCCTGTAGGGGAGGCTTACCAGTGTTGAGATTTAATTCCTGTATTTTATATATTAAGTCATGCCTAATAAATATGAATTACATTACGTTTAATAAGAAAATATCAACCCAGTTTTTAAAAAAATTGATGTAGTTCCTCGCATACAATCAACTTAGATGTTTAAGTCATTTCAACTTAAATTACATTAAAAAGTGTGCTGCCACCTCAATTGGAGACCACAGGAAGCTGGCAGTGCTGGAATCTGCAGGGGGCGTCCGTGATGATCGCTCAAATACAGTGCAGGCTCATGTCATGTGTCATTAGAGGCTGTTTTTTAATGATGCAGCTGACAAAGCCTCTCAGTTTGTTGCTTGTCTCAGATTTTTTTGTTGTTTTTCTGTTTTTGCAGCAAGTGGAGGTGGATGGACAGCAGTGTATGTTGGAAATTCTGGATACTGCCGGAACGGTAAGACACTTTGTGATCAGAACTTCTTCGATAACTTGCAGATTACCAAAAATCTGCAAGCTTTTGGTATAATAAGCATTTGTATGTGTGAAAAGTACTGGTTAACTGTTAAATGTACTTCAGAAATAAGAATTTTTATTTTAAATACATACACACACACTGTAATATATATTTACAGTATATATATATATATATATCACAGTGTGTGTGTACATGAAAAAAAAAACATTATTCCTTAAAATCGTATTAATATTGCTAACCCTTATATGAGATTGACTTATTTAATTGAGGAATAATGTGTGTATTTTTTTACAGACTGTGGTTTAAAGCAAACAAGTTGTTAAATGCTTTTTTAGTAAAGTATATTGATCAGCCGATGAGTCAAAAACTGATGAGTCTTCTAATGAGTGTTCAGCTAGATGCTTTGATAAAATAATATATGTGTATATAAATCTGAACATAGATGTAATGATTTTTCCATTTACAAACAATTACATTGCAACTAGTGTTTAAATTTCCCTTGACGTCAGAGCCAAGATAAAATCTTGTTTGGTATCGGCCAGTGTCAGTGCATTAAGTCATCCATGTTAACTTTTAACCAACAACCTGGAGATTAAATAGATAGTTTGAATTCAAAGGTAGCAAATATTGAGAGAAGATTGCAGAGAAAACAAAAAAAATATTTTTAATCAAAAAATTGCCCAACGTAAAACAGATGACGAGAGAGAGCAGCTTCTGAGTGTGTGTGTGTCATGACTTTAGCACTACTGAGTGTGTTACTTGGCCCCAGTCTCCCCCTACTGTAAGCTAAATGATGAATAATACATGTGCATCTTCATGGCCGGCCTCATCTCATACAGGTGCAGGAGGTTACAGAGCATTTTTGGCCCCTGTGGAGGATAAGGACATATTTCCAGTTTCACAAGCCCCTGTTTTACAATTTGAGTTGTAGTGACAGATGGTGAATGTTGTCCTTGGGCTCTCTGCCCCAGAATGGAGCCATGGTCAAATGAAACCGAGCCAAAGAAGCTGAGAATATTACTGTCAGAGATGTCAACTACAAATTGGCTGCAGTTTTTGTACAGTAGGATTGGCACTTTCTCTAAAATGATTATTATTAAATCGAGTGCTAGTTGCACTCAATAACATAATCTTAATTAAATCTTGAAAGTAGGTGAGAAAGTCAAGAGTTCAAGATGAGAGCAAGGGAAAAATGCACTTAATTTCTTGTGTAATGCCGAACTAACTTATGGCTAGTTTAAGTCAATCTGCAAATGATATACACAAGTACCACAACTATAGAGATAGTTCATCTTAAAATGAACACTCAGGCATCATTTACTCACCCCTGTCTTGTTCCGAACCTAAATGACTTTATTTCATCTGTGGAGCACAAAAGAAGATGTTTTGAAGAATGTTCAGAGAATGTAATGAAAGTAAATGGTGACCAACATCTATCGATCTCCAAAAAGGATAAAAACATTCTTTATCTGTATTTCATGGATGTAAGATAGACAGTACAGTGAACTTTCAGTTTGTTTGTGTGGATTTTCTCTCAACAAATCCAAAGCTCATGCCCACTCACTAGCACGTTTAATGAGACACTGTTGTGTCCTCTAGAGAGAAAGATCATTATTTCTCCTCCCTAGCTTTCCTTCACATATTACACGTTACCTTTGACAACCATTTTCATTCTCCACGGGTTTCAGCAGCTCTGGCCACATTCAGCACACTGACCCATAGGAAATAAAGCTGCGGAGCTACTGATGTGCCTCTGGCCTCATTAACTTAACAGGACAGGACTGTCTATCTGAGCTAAGGTTCATTCAAAACCGCAATGTGAAAAATTTTCTCAAGTTTATGAACGTCGGTTCTGCATGTGGTGGTTCAAAATGAAGGAGAGACCCACTCTTGTGTTGTTTCTTTTGTTACCGAATCAAAAGTAATCAAATTTGAAAGGGAAATGAAGGGAAGTGTACATTGGAAGTGAGTGCAAAGGGAGTCAGTAACAATCAGTACTAATAAGATGGTTCATTAAAATCAAGTGTTCAATACAAGTCTCATCAAAAAAATATTGTACATTGATATAATAACTAATATAAAACACATTTTTGCACAATATGTTGGTATCTTATCGGTTATTAAAAACTCTGCACTGACTATTTATCTTTTGGAGTGTTTTAGATGTTTTTGTCAGTACCTCAACAACTGCTCCATACACTATCTGATCTCATCTTTGTTCTCTTTCTCTCCCACTCAGGAACAATTCACAGCCATGAGGGACCTGTACATGAAGAACGGCCAGGGCTTTGCACTAGTATACTCCATAACAGCACAGTCCACCTTCAACGACCTGCAGGACTTGAGAGAACAGATTCTGCGGGTCAAAGACACCGATGATGTGAGTCGTCCCTTAATCTTCAAGAACTCCATCATGTTCACGCACCCCTCAGTGTCTGCTGCCCTATACCTTTAGCTTTCAGCTTAGCCTGTCGTCAGCACCAGTATCTCCTTTTTCACACCCACCCTCAGCCCTTTGTCAATAAGGGTGACCTTTCAGCTGTGAAGAGCCTTTGTTGACTTTGTATAAGGGCTGGGTTTTTCTCTTCTTGTCCACCTCTCTCTGTTTGATAGTTGCCGTTTAGTAGCTGAATTATTTTCATAGTTTTTTGCTTTATTGTGTTTTCATATACAGACAAATATTCTGGTTGCTAGTTTGCTTTCTTGTTTGTAATGTTATGTGTGACCACTTTTTCAAATATTGCAGAAAAACCCTGCTGATCCTCATGACTGTGGCCACGTTTACACAAAGCCGGGTATTTAGCGAAACGAATATTTTCCCCCTCTCCGTTTTCAAAAATAACATCGTTGACACACCCGCATAAATACGCTGTTGAGCGCCATCATATCTATGCCAAACCTATGGACGGCAGTGTAGGGAGAAGGATAAAGCCATGCAAGCCAATCAGAATCCTCAGAATCGACAAGAGAGAACCTAAAACGCCAATTCTCCCAGTTCACACGACAGCACATAACCGGCGTTTTCAGAAGTCTCCACTTTGGCGGGAGTTTTTAGAAATAATCGTTTTCTGTGATAAAAACAGGGTTTTCGTGTAAACGAGAGGCCAAACCGCAGGGAAATATCTGCGTTTTCACTTCATGTAAACGGGCCTGTTTGTCTAGCAGTTTTGTAATTCCTCGTCTTTGGTCATTTTAGACAAAAAAAAAGGGGGGGGGGGGTCTACAAATCAGCTACTATGAAGTAGTCTTTGATAATGGTTATATGTAGAATAAATATTATTGAAACTAAATATAGTACATTAATTTCGTAAAATAATTATGCGCTTGTCTCTTCCAACTGCAAGTAGGGGATTACAAGTGTGACTCCTAAGTGAGGAATACTAGAGGGTTAAAATATTGCATAGTTTGACCTTTTTCTGACAATGCAAGGTCAATTCAGTTTCTATAATGACATGTGTACGACTCCCCCAAAATCCGGATCCATTTTTTTAATCACATCATGAACAAATTCAATCTTCAATGCATGTATCAAACTGACTTAAAATCAACAACTTTTATTGAAAACGACTTGGTTGTTTTGAGACTCCAAATAACTGTGTGTGTGTGTGTGTGTGTGTGTGTGAAATTCCCTTAAAGGTATAGCGGAGGATCTTTCCGAATTTTAGAGAAGACCCGCCCTCTCCAATTTTAAAAAAAAATGCACATGGACAAACACAACACTCTTGCTCCCGAGAGGGAACGTCTATTATGCCTTACACAATTATGTTGCAAATTATAAACTAACAACTCAAAAACATTCATAAAAAAGACAACATGTCAAATGCCCCACCGTGTTTTATTTACTTATTATACTGATCGATTGAGTGACCGAGCACTCAAGACATGGTATGTGCAACCCTGTATCACACGAAATACGTTCTGAGGAAACTATTTTGCAAATCGCAATTACGTTACATGGCAACATATAAGCAGTGCTATTACGTTGGTCCTTAACCTAATATGTCTCATTGTTAATAATACGTTATTTTTATACATAGTTGCATATGTAATGGAGAAGTAGATTGTTGCATTTGTGTAATAATAAACACACAAGGTTTTAGAATATGAACACATGAACACACAAGGTTTTAGAATATTTCAGGGTGATACCATTTATCATTTGGTCAAAAGGCTACTTTAGACAAATTGAGATGTTTACCGTGTCTATGCGGTGCATGACTTGTGCCAGGGCTAGCATTGCTAAGTAGCTTCCATTAACTTTTTTTTTTTTTTTTTTTTAAACATATCACCAGAATGATTGACACTTAGGTGGACCAATAGTATAGACTACCCACCCGGAAAAAGAAAATCCTCCGCTATACCTTTAAGATATAAGTTTCTTTTGTCACAAAAATCCGACTAGGCTTGGGTTGAATTGCAGCCAACTTTGTTGAGCGTGGGAGGAAATGAATCCCAGTGCAAGGTGTGTGTGTGTGTGTAGGAACTCATTCTAAATGGTTTCTGAGAGAGATGATAGTGTGATGACCACAGTTGACCTGCACTATTTCTGTCCACTTCCTCACCTCAGCTGATTTAACACAGGACGTTTCAGTTATTTACACGGCTAGCTGCTTTGGTTGTTCGCGTTTACGCTACGTGTCAGTTTCTGTGTTCCTTTGAAAGTATCGGCCGAAAATGAATGCAAATGCTGTGTCTCATGGTTTCACTTCTGCTTGGATATCTGGACTGTGTTTCGTTTGAAAAGCTGAGAGTTGTGTGGGATTTTTAGTGTTAAATGCAAATATGATTGCATCAAGAGCTTCGAGGGGTTTCTTCTATCTCTTCTTTTGACCTTTTTTGTGGCTTTCTTCAACAGCTGTAGCAAACTCTTTCCCCTCAAGAATGATTTCTGCTAATGTCTCTAAATAGCTCCCTGGATGAAAAACTAATAAGCATTTGTACATCAGGAAATCATGACCGTATGCACTTATATTTTAACTATTGTTTTTTTTTATTATTTCTTTTGCTAATCTAATCAGCTACTTTATTACTTCTCAGTGGTGTGCTGAAAATGCTAATTAATTGGCACTGCTTCTCAAATCCACAATGACTAGCTTTGTTCTAATCCCTTAACCATTGAATTACAGTATTATCTTATTTCTGTAAACTCAGTCGAAGCGTTTCCTTTCAGGTGCCGATGATCCTGGTGGGTAATAAGTGTGATCTGGAAGACGAGAGGGTGGTCGGGAAAGAACAGGGCCAGAATCTCGCCCGCCAGTGGAACAGCTGTGCTTTCCTGGAGTCCTCTGCAAAGTCCAAGATTAACGTCAACGAGGTGAGTCTGATTTGATGGAAACGATCAAGGCATCTCTTTACCTATTATGCTACAAAAAGTCAAATTTCTCACGTTAAAGTTGTTTTTACAATGCATTACAATATTTGTTTATTAGGGTACATGGCTACTTTTGAATTGCCATCAATGGGTAATGTTTTTTTGATGGTGTAGTAACAGTATCTACCAGCAGGGGCACTTTTTTTTTATATACTGAAAATGTAATATACCGGTACATTTTTGTTTTTGTACAAATGAACTTACCTTTGTGTATACATTAAAAAAAATGTAAAAATTAATTTAAACTGAAATTCTTTTTAACTAAAAAAATTAATGAAATGAAACATTTATTTTGCACATTATTTTATATTTTATTTTACTTTATGACCTAAGAGACCTATAACCTAAAGTTTTTGTTATCATAATCACAGATTTTTTTCATATGGTTTTGCGAAATCCTCATATATAAGCTATTCCATTATTGCTGTCTTAATATTTTTTTTTAAATAAATAAAATTAATTTAGAGAATTTAGAGGTGAATCAAAGAAAAGCTGTCATATTCCTTGATAAGATTAATTTATATATATATATATATAGTTAAAGTTCAGTTATTTCACTTAAATGACAATGAAGATTACCTATTGATTGTCATTTACGTGAAATTACTGAATTTAAATATACAAGCTTGAAAAAATGATCATTCTAGAAGAAAGTTTCAAATGGCACTTAGAGGGTTTTGCATCTGAACTCTTCATATATAAACCCAAACGTTAGGTTAAAAATGTAATTAAAAAATTGAATCCAATGGCTGGGTTTGTCAATATATGACCCAAAGTTGGGTTAAAACAACCCTGCAATTTTTAGAGTGTATGTACACCTATATAGGCTGTGTATGGGCATGATTTTTCCCCAGTGTTTTCAGTTCAGGTCAGGCTTGAGTTGTCCTCTGTCATGCCTGTGCTGGCGTCACCATGGAGCTGCTCTTCTCTGCTGGGGTCTCAGAAGAGTGTCATTGTCAGCTAGTGATATCTCTCCATGAAAGCGTAGTCACACATTAGCAAAACAGGCAGTCAGCTGCGGCAGCCAGACACAAAACACCCTTTTGTGAGCAGAACGATTCTGCCTACATGACACAGTGCTGCTTTGAGTTCAGTCAGTTAGAAAGTCCAGTTGACTGTGCTTGCTTGCTTCTCCTTACAAGATGAGTTATATGAAACCCATGTGCTGAGCTGGAGTATGTCTTGTAGTTTATGAGGGGTTACTGCAGGGCAGGAGGTGATGATTTGAGGTGTTCGTCTTTTTTAATGGCGCTTTGGCGTTGCTTCAGGATTATTCATTTACTCATGTCAAAGCGCAGGCCTGCGTCATCATCATTAAAGTCATCTCCTGTAAGCGAAATCCAGATACCAAGCTTATTGAGCTCTCAATAAGATAATGAGGAACTTTAGTTGAGAGAGAACAGTCAAAGTGATTCATTACGTTCAGTTAACACAGCCAGGGTGCTTTTTTCTCTCTCATACATTCAATGGTTTTTTTTTGCAGTCTCAAGGTCCAACAGGCACTTTTTGTTCATTTTTTTAAGCCCAAATGTACTAAAAATCCACTAATAATCATTTTGTAATTTCACGACAGTAGGAAATAGTACAGTTATCTGTCAATATTTTAGTGTAAATAACTGAATATGCATTAAGCATTTAAATATTAAGACCGCAATAATCCAATATCTTAGAAAGACAATACAATTTTGGTTGGACCTTATTGAGACCATCAAGAAGTTTTTGAGATCCTTCTAAGTTTTGGTCAATTTTACTTTAATTTCTTGTCATTTTATTTATTCTATGTATTTATATTTAGTCTTACAGACATGGGCGATCTTGGGCTTTGTTGCAAATAGTTAAAAACACAAAATGTTTAATAAATAAAGAATCACAAAAATAATAATCCATTATCTTATATAGGAGTGTTTTGCAATTAATGTTAAGAAAATAGATCATGGTAACAAAATGGTATAAAATACATGATATAAAATACTGTGCAAATAATTAGTGCTGAATCAATTAGTCGCTTCTACATAAAAGTTAGAAGTGACTAATTTACAGTATAAACATAGCCATATATATATATATATATATATATATGGGTATGTTTATACATCTATTAATCGATTTTACAGCACTAGTTTTTTTGTTTGTTTTGTTTTATTTTTTAATTTTTTTATTTTTTTTTTATTTTTTGTTAAAGTTTGTTCATTTGTACAAGTGGCATAGAGTGTCGATATTTAGTATATTTTTTCTGTATTTGGCAGTTTCTGTTGTTCATCAACGGTTGACTCTGTTTAAAACTATTTTCAGTGGTATAGCTAAATATATTCTCAACACAAAGTCTAAGTTGTGTAAGTTGCTTTGAAAAGTTGATCTTCATTGACAAAGCAATGCAAAAAGCTAATTGAACAGGACATGACAGGATTAGACAGGAAATTTGGTGCTGGCGGGGCTTTCTCTCTCGCTTGGAATTGTTGCTATGGTCAAATCTTTTCATTTATCCACTTTCCATTCAATAAATGAAGGGGAAAAAGCCATTATTGATTTGATGGGGTTCAGGCAAGCCCATTTGCTCTGTTAATCTGCACAAGTTTGCTACTTTGTGCTTTTTGTCAAAACCTTTTAGTAAGGTGCAACCGGTAGTTCTGCATCTGTTTATATCTGAGATCATCTGTTGTTACGTATATCGAAGCATGGATTATGAGCTTATCCTTCTCAGTTCACATCCCAAATCTGCTTCGATACACAACACATGTGGCAGAGACTTGACTACAAATCCTGCTGCATTGCCGGTGTTGTTTTTAACATGTTTCAGTCTGCTACGGTAGTTTATCTCTGGTCATTGCGTAAAAGCTGCAGATGTTGTGTGGAACTGATTGATGATGCAGGAGCTGTTGTGTCTCCTCCGGGAGCTGAACATCTGTGAGGGGAAGTGTCCACTCCTCTGAATGAGTGATTTCTCTCTGTTTCGGTCTAGAAGTGGAGTATTTTTCCCAGTTTGGGAGCCAAGTAGACACATTTCATTAGTTTGTAAAAACACCACCTGAATATGCTTTGCATTAAGAGCTGGGAGCTTGGTTTTAATATTTTCGCTGTAAATGTGATCTGATTGCTAAAATAATGTTTTTTTCACATGCTGTATCATTAGACATGCAAATAAAATAGTATGATGTAGTATGAATCTGTAATGTGACATATGTATGAGTGAAACAGGATATTCAAAGAGATAAAATGCAGGATAGATGTTGATTTTATCCATCCATTGGGAATTTATTAAAAAAATTGGATCGCTGGATCACGGTCTCACAGGTGGTTGTAGGAGGGGTTGAGTGTCGACAGCCAAAAATGTATTTTTGTTTTGTTATGTTCTGTTTTCATTTTATTTAGTTGTTCTGTTTTTTTGTTTTTGTTTTTTTTAGGTTTGTGTTTTTGTTTTCATTTCGTTTAGTTATGTTTGTTTTTTTGTTTGTTTGTTTGTTTTTTGTTTTATTTGTTGTGTGTTTTTGTTTGGTTTTATTTTATTCTATAATTATTTAATTAAATATGTTTTAAAAATTAATTATATAAGTAAATATCACTTGAAAAGCGAATATCTGTAAATTATGGAAGCTTGTTTCCGCCACAGAATGAAAAATATAAAAGGTAATTGCGACTTTTTATCTCACAATTCTGACTTTTTTCTCACAATTGCGAGTTTACTTCTCGCAATTCTGACATTATTTCTTAGATTTGCGAGATGTAAAGTCAGAATTGCGAGATATAAAGTCCGAATTGCGTGATATAAAGTCGCAATTGTGAGATATAAAGTCAGAATTTCAATTGCTTGATATAAAATCGCAATTGTGAGATATAAACTCAGATTTGCGTGATATAAAGTGCGTGATATAAAATCTGACTTTATATCTCGCAATTCTGACTTTATATCTCGCAATTCTGGCTTTTATATCACGCAATTCTGACTTTATATCTCGCAATTCTGGCTTTATATCACGCAATTCTGACTTTTTATCTCACATTCTGACTTTTATCTCGCAATTCTGACTATATCACGCAATTCTGACTTTATATCTCGCAATTCTGACTTTATATCTCACATTCTGACTTTATATCTCGCAATACTGTCTTTATAACACGCAATTGCGACTTTATTTCTCACAATTCTGACTTCATATCTCGCAATTGTGAGATAAAAAGTCCCAATTATCTTTGTACTTTTTTAAATTCAGTGGCGGAAACAAGCTTCCATAGTGAATGTATGTTGACTCTACAAAACAGTTCTGGGGCAAAATTGACACTTTGAACCACAACACTAACATTAAAAGTACAGGCTGACAATCAAAGGTCTAGACTGTCATCATGAAAAATGAGAAAATGTATTTTCTGACATTTGGCCTTTTTACAAACACATCCAATCTGACGGCATATTTATGAGTTCACTGAGAAATGTTTTCTCTCACTCTCTCTCTCTCTGCAGATCTTCTATGACCTGGTTCGGCAAATCAACAGGAAAACTCCAGTACCTGGGAAGGCACGCAAAAAGTCCACCTGCCAACTGCTCTAATATACAGCTGTTCTTTTGCTCTGAGCCAGGTAGGATCTCAACTGTCATTGGCTGAGCAGAAATGATTGACAGCTTAGCACAATCAATGCTCTAAAGCCACTTTTTATAGAAACCATAGAAATCAGGTTATATTTAGATTCAAAAGTGATTACACTTCTTTCTTTTTTCTTCTTCATGCAGGTCTGATTTACTGCTGTGTCTTTCAGCAGTGCCAGCATTCCGACGTTACTAAAACCTAACAACGAATGGACTTTCCTATGTGGTGATGCCCCTTTAACAAACCAACCAACCAACCAACCAACCAACAACCAACCAATGGAATCAAGGCTACAGTACCATGACAGTTTTTTGCACATAGATAACCATCATCACTTTCCAATGTCGCGAGAAAGAGATTTTTACATATAAATATATAAATATATATTCTAACTGTATGCAACTGAATAAAAAAATTAAATGAGTAAATGAATACAGAGCTAGACAAAAAGAATTAAAAAAAAATACAGAGCCTACACGCAGTGTTATCGCTAACGGAGACAGCCACCGTTGTAAATGTAAGGAGGGAATGTCTAACCAGGCTGTGCACGTTGCCATGGCAATTACAATGATATTTATAAGCACCACTATTTTAGCCAGAGAGGAGAGGAAGTCCAAAGAGCTCCTATATACAGTAAACCATTCTTACAGCTAACTTTCACTCCTTGATTTGGTTTTGTTTTTTAATTTGTTTGTAACTGTTGTTTTTTTGCTTTTATTCTAAACATGAATTCTTTATCATCTGCCTTCTTTCTCTTTTATAAAATTACTAGATTTTTTGCTCTATGGAGATATTATATTCGCAACAGCTATTGAGTTTTACCTTAGGAAAAAACCTGTGGATACAGTGATGTACATGTAAAAAGTTCAAAAAATATAATTTTTTCTGTCACTATCATTGTCCTTAGCCTCAGATGTTGCCTTCAAATATGTATTAAGTCTTTTTTTTCTTCTTTATTTCCCATGAAGATTCCCTCTAAACTTAATTTCCGTGATCGTAGGTCCATCTCATTGGCCAATGCCGGCTTTCTTTGTTTTGTTTACAAAGAACTTTGTACAGCAGGCTTTTTTTTTTCTTCTTTTTTTAAGGGGGTATTCAAATAAAGGGTTTGAAAATTTCGTTTTTAGTACCACCCATATGTGTCAGAAACTCATCTTTTGGGTGGTTTCATAATAAATAGTCAAATCCCTCTTGACAAAGCTGATCCTGATCAAATGTAGGACATGTACACGGTATATATTTGAAAGAATTGGGGGTTTTAATACACAGGAACAACAAACTGTCACTCTCGATACTCAAACTTGGCCCCCTTCCCCTTGCTTGCTGATGCATCTGGTGTAAACCGAGGAAATGAAAACCAAATATTGGATCCTGTCAGTAAAGAGTGAGGAAAAGATGTCTGTTAGTGACTGTTTCAACTTTGTAATAATTTGTCCGTTTTCTGTCTTGGATTAACTGAATGTGGGGGATGTGGGAACTTTGTGTTAAGCGAGAGAAAAAATGGGAATAATTGATTAAAAAAATTGAAAAGAATTAGTTGTGCATCAAGTGCAATCATAAAGAATGTTGTAGCATTGAATACTTGTCTCTTTAAACATCAAAGCGACAGGGTGCAGCATGCCGTATGTGCACACGATGAATTGTTTATGAATGCTTTGAGGATTTGCACTGTGTAAAGTGAAGAACACGACTCCTAGGGAGTGTCCGAGCAGCAGCGGACACGGGTCAACGTTACGAGTCGTGTGTTGTTCTGATTACTGCGAGCAAATGCCTGGATGCTGTTTAGGTTTTGAGGGAAAATTGTGGGGTGGGGTGGGGAGGGGGGAGGACCTTTGGATTGAGACAGAGGCACAGTATTTCAACTGCAACATCATCTGCTTCTGATGGGTGGAGGGAGGTAAGGGTGGGTGGATGGCCAAGATTCAACTTAAAAGCCTTAATTAAAAGTGGTGCAATTTTGTATAACCGAGCATCTGTAGTTTAATAAATTGGATTGCCATGCAAGGGCTCACAAGAAGCCAGTTTTTGCCGGTTGAATGTTTTGTGTATTGTTTAAGCATTTTCTGTCAGTCCAATAAATAAAAAAAAACGAAAGCATTTAACGTACTCTCTACCATGACGCGTTTGCTGCAAAGGTATTATTATTATTTATGATATATTATTCAGATTTAATCATTTAAAAAATGGAAGTCGGTTGCTTTGCATTAAGAACTGAAAGGAATAGAGGATGACAGGTATTTTTAATTTCCTAGGAATATAATGGACGGGTTTTTGGCAGTGTGTGTGGTTTCTGCAGATGAAAAATATTGGTCTTGCATAGCCTACATGTACTCCAGTGCTTGCCTTTATCCACTGATGATACATTCTGCCGTCTGCTCTCTAACCGGTGATTTTTCAAACCATGTATCATTTCGGAATACACCATCATTTTGTAACAATATATTGGCTACAGTATAATATTATATAAATATATTAGTAATATGGGGTGTAACAATATATCGTGCCACAATATATCGCAATACAAAAGTGCAACAATACGTATCGTGGATAGTCCCCCCAAAATAGTTTTCAGAGTATGTGTGTGTGTGTGTATATACCGTATATATATACATATATGTATGTATATATATATATATATATATATATATATATATGTATATGTATATATATTTATTATTTATGTGTGTATATATATGTGGATATATACATGTATGTATGTATGTATATATGTGTATATATATATTATGTGTATATACAGTATGTATGTATATATGTGTGTGTGTGTGTGTATATATATATATATATATATATATGTATGTATATAAATATACATGTATATATATATGTATATATATTTATGTGTATATATATATATATATATATATGTATATATATTTATGTATGTATATATGTATATATATATATGTATGTATATATGTATGTATGTATGTATATATATATATATATATATATATATATATATATATATATGTATGTATGTATGTATGTATATTGTGTTTGAGTGTGTATTTTTACATATGAATTATTAATTTCACAAAACAGAAGAAACCTACATCTAATGCAGGCAATTGTTTTGGCCAACTGTGTATTGGTGTGACAACTTGCCCCGACCTGATGTGACTTTGTGACAATTTATCCCCATGACACCTAGCAATAGTCTCAATTTTGTGTAAATACCTTCCAAATATGTTCATTTATTGACCATAGGGATTATCACTACGACATAAACACAGATTATGACCTCCAGTACACTAGATGGCGCTGTTCTTTTGTCGTTCGCCAGACTAAACAACATACAGCAGAAGAAGAATCCACACATGGCATGTGAGAAACAGGAAACACGAGAGTGCTACAGAAGTATTTTGGTTTACTAAATGTCAATATTGTCTGATAAATGAATGATATTGCAGGAATTCTGTGTAGTTCGTGTGACGCATGTGCGCGTTGTCTTCCTGTGACACTCCAAAACAAGAGTAATGTGCGTTTGACCTCGGCAGTAAGAGTGCATTCTGAAACATATATGTTGACAAACAAGTTTTTATCATGAATCTCAGCGTGACTCTCGGGTGTTGTAGTAAAGTTCGCCTGTTTCGGAATAAGGCGACTGTCTACCTTTGCAGAAAACTGTCAGATGTCCCCATCTCATCTGAGGGAACTCAGTCCAGCTCTGGTGAGGAGAAGCCCAGGAGAACCCGCAGACTTCCGGGGAGCGCGTCTGTCCTTCTGTTCCCCGGACAGGGCAGTCAGTTCGTCGGTATGGGGAAAGGACTGTTGAAGTATGGAAATGTCAAAGAGATGTTTGCCGTCGCTCAGAAGGTGCTTGGTTATGACCTGCTGTCACTCTGCTTGAATGGACCTGAGCAAGATCTGATGAAGACTGTTCATTGTCAGCCAGCTGTGTTTGTCTGCTCACTGGCTGCTGTGGAAAGACTGAACCATGAAAATCCTGCTGTAAGTTATTCGCAATATCAGACTATGATGGGACTCATCTTTATTGGCAGTGCTGTCCATTTATAATTTATATATTGGCATGTGGTACTTATGTAAAACCCATTGACCCCCTTTATAGGCTATTGAGAACTGTGTGACTGCAGCAGGTTTTAGTGTTGGTGAATTTGCTGCTTTGGTCTTCTCTGGTGCAATGCACTTCGCTGAAGGTAAAACTCACCCTTACATTTATAAAAAATCAACAAAATTGGCTACTTGAATAGTAGTCTTCCTTTTCTACATAACACTTTATTTTGATGGTCTCTTTTTGAACATTCTGTTGTTGACTTTGCAACTTCATGTCAACTAACTCTCATTAGAGTATTAGTAACTCTTTATACTGTACATTCTACTGTAACTTTAACTACATGTCAACTTATTCTGATCCTACCAGTCTACTAAAACTCTACAAACACTCTAATGAGAGTTAGTTGACATGTACTGTAGGTGCAAAGTTACTTATAGACAACAGAATGTGTTAAAGGGACCATCAAAAGCAAGTCAATCCACATATTTTTTGGCAGAAAAATATGACCTAGAGCCCTGGACATGTTATTAACAATATTTTAGGAGATTCACACACATTTATTTGTTTAAAATGCCCTGTTCTGTGCTCACAGCTTTGTTTGCAGTAAAGGTGAGGGCAGAAGCAATGCAGAAGGCCTCCGACCAAGTACCTAGTGGCATGTTGTCTGTGATTGGCCGACCTCAGGCCAACTACAAATACACCTGTGTCCAAGCTAGGGAGCACTGTTTGTCTCTTGCTATCCAAGAGCCTGTGTGTGCCATTGCCAACTACCTTTTTCCAGATGGGAGAGTAATAGCTGGCCACAAAGAGGTAAGATTCATCAAATGTAACTTTCCAAAAACCTAATTGTTAAGCCTTTCCATGCTTTTAATAGACATTCTCTCACACAGGCTTTGGATTTCCTTCAAAGACATTCCAGAGAGCTGAAATTCATGAGAACTAGACTACTGCCGGTTAGCGGGGCCTTTCACACGGCGCTCATGGAGCCGGCGGTCGAGCCTCTGAGAGACGTCCTTCGACAGATAGAGGTACGGCGGCCCGAGATCTCCGTGCACTCCAATGTGGACGGCAAGCGGTACATGCATGACAAGCACGTACGGAATCAGCTGGCCAAACAGCTGGTGTCTCCGGTGAAATGGGAGCAGACGCTGCATGAGATTTATGAAAGATCCCAGGGGCAGGAGTTTCCTCACACCTATGAGGTGGGACCTGGTAGACATTTGGGTTCAACACTACAGAAGTGCAATATGAAGGCCTTTAAGAACTATACGCATGTGGATGTTACACTGACAGAGGATTGATCAGTGGTTGTGCAGTCAATCTGTTTGTCTTTTAGCTGATAAATACAAAGAAACAATACACTTTGTTTTCTTTTTTAAAAGTTTTATTGCGCTTGGAAAGTCCAGCTTCCTTTAATAATGCAGAAATGTTTTTAGAGGAAGAGGTAACAATTCATTGGCCCAATTAGCCAGCAATAGACCCAATACACACACACACACAAAACATGTTTAACTTGTAAAAACCTGCACATATATGTACGTATATATGTGAACCAGCACTTAATTTGAATCAGTTATAAAAGAGAATGCAAAATAAGAAGTTTTATTTTTAAAAAAGGTTATATTTGAGCCAAAGACCAGCTCTTGACCCTCTCACAGTCACCTTCAATCTTCATATCCATACTAGGTTACAAGTAAGATAGACACGGTGACCAGTAGTAAAGCAGACGCCAGTATGTATGTGTTCCTGCGGGACCAGTCAGAAAGGTTGGGCACCTGAGGAAAGTAAATAAAATAATTGCATTTGTTTTATTCCACAGTTTCACTAAAATACCAGGGTTTCCACAGTTATGTAAAACCTGAAAGCAATCTTTCTAGGCCTGTGCATTTCATTTAAATTAACAAAATACAAAAAAGGACGTTTCTGTAGTGAATATATTTTTGTCTATTTATGCATGACTCTAAAATATTAATTAGACTAGAAATTAGACTTTGTAAAATGCTTTGTGAAAAAAAAAAATCATAGAAATATATTTAAAAAGTGTAGGAATCTCAAAAATATCGACTCGCATTATTAAAAAAATATCGACTTTACATTATTGTTCAAAAGTGGTCATATAAGATTTTTTTGATTTTTTATATATATTTTTTTAAGAAATTATTATTTTTATTCAGCAAGCACTTATTAAATCGCTCAAAAGTGCAAGTAAAAAAAATCTGTAATGTCATGAAAAACTCAAATGCTGTTTGTCGCAGAATCCTGAGAAAAAAATTATATTTTACATATTTTTTTCATATTTTACACAAAAATTATATTAAAAAATAATCTTACCAATGCCGAACTTTTGAACAGTAGTCTATGACTATAACCAAGTTGACTTTTTGAGCATCTCACCCAAGATTTATACATATTTACAGACACACACACAAATATTGTCCTTACCCAGGCCGCCCACTTCTTAGCCTCCTGACAGCCATTTTGAAGCTGTGGAATCAACCAGGATGTCCTTAACATTGGCATAATTTTAGACCCCCAGAGGTTGCCAAGGATCCTGCTTATTACAATAATAACAAACCACACCCAGAACTGTCACTCTCTTTATTCGAAGCCTCCTAAATGGATTTGCATTTGAGCATGTGGGAGCAAATGCCCTCAACTCACCCAGAAAACGCAGTCCTGGTTAGGGCGTAAAGATAAATCCCCAAATTCAAGGGCTGCAATTGGACGGGCAGTTGTTCACGCCATTTGTTGTCCAAGTCGTCCCCTATCTGAGCCAGCTGTCGTCCAATAAGCTGGGTGACTCTGATATTCAGTCCAAAAAAAGATTTGTGCGTAAAATATATTGTATTTCACAATATATCTCAATCTGAACAAATGATTACCTTATGTTAGTGGCATAGACAATGTTGTGGTCTACATCACCAGGTCCAGCCTGGAGGGATGTGGCATTTTTCGGCTCTCTCGTGTCTTCCACCATCGTGTTCTGAAAGGCGTGATCATGTTTATGTCACTAATTCAACCGTCTCTTGCATCACGCTTAACCATCTATTTGCCTGAATACCATTTTCTATTTCCTTTCTCTGCTGCGGCTCTTGACTTTGTTTGCGTGGAGGAAGAGGACTTTGTTATTTCGCCCTGCCCTTTGTGGCCTCACGTGACTTGATCCAGTAGCTATTGCTTTCAACGGACTAGTATCGCTCAGTAAACACACAGGCCATGTGACCTGAGGACACTGGGTGTGCCTTTGTCTATTGCTGCTGCAATAGTGTTAGAACATGACATCATTGCACACACAATCAAGTTCTGAAAAACACCTGCAGCCATAAACACAGCTTCCTGCAACCCTAGAGGACTCTGCTCTTCTGTGGCAATAAAAAGAAAAATGGCGCAGACACCATAAAGCTGACTCACTTCTCGCTTCGGCCTTACTTTCACTATTTGATGTTATGATTAAAATACGTTTTGATTGTTTCTAGTATAAATAACACATTTACCAGTTATGAGGATCTAGCATAAGAAAAACAAATGTGTTCTTTATCTTTCATGTGACTGTTGAAATCATCAGGTTTAATGCAAATTCTCATTCAAATCAGCCAAACTGCTCAAAGCCGAACTGAACAATTTTTCTGAACAAATTACATTGTTTGTTGACGTAAAACTTAAAAACAAAGTGTGGATGATGTTTTCTGTGTGATAACACAGGCTATTATGTCAAAATAAACTGTGACGCAGTCATCATTCTGAGACCAGGAAAATATTTTTTTTAAATCATTTTAAATAAAATCTTCATTTCTGACTTTTTTGAACTCTAAAAACGTTTTTTGAACTGCTTAATTTTATCAAAACATGTATATTTAAATATTAGGTCATCTTTAGACAGCTACGAAGTACTAGTTTTCATCCTGAGGCATGCTAATGAATATTTGAAATCGATTTTTTAATCTATTAGCTACTTGAATGTTTCTATCTGCGAATTTTATCATAGAGGTATTTATTGTCAGCGTTCAAAATGTTCATAACAAAGGACAGGTGCATAATGGAAAACAAAAGCAAGATCATACCTTGTTTGTAGATTAAAACGGACGCCGCCCTGCAACATTTCAAGAAATCATTTAATTTGAAGAAATATTTGTATTGTGATAAATATATATCAATGACCATTTTCTGTGACTTACAGCAGCGTCCTTTAATCTTGGTGTCTTGCTGTGATGTGTCCCAGTAGTACAGTGATCACCTGGAGCCACGCCTGCAGCTTTACACTCAGGAAGTGTCACTTTCATTTCTGACCAATAGAGGACACCAAAGGGTTTGATATCACTACATTCATTCATGATCTCATGCTTTAATTCAATCTGCTGGACCAAAAACAGATTTAGAGACATTTTTTACATTTCAAAAACCTAATGACTTTCATTTTCCGTCTGTCTCTGGTAAGTAAATATTTTTAATATTGTCGATGTGGGTCTGTGAATTCTCAGTTATTTAATAGTGTGGTATGCAGGCCAACCAACTTTTACGGCTTTTACTGTGCACCGAAATTACTGTTTTCCTTCTTATCGCTTTGATTTGCATTTAACCCCAGAAAGGGAGAGCAAATAATATATGTAAATTTGTTTGTACGTGTGTAAATGTTATATGTATATACAGACTAACTTTCTGCCAGAGGTCCTGGACATCTTGTTCAGAGACATGGCATCATGGATTCGATCAAATACCAAACAGATGAAAAATCAAAACCTGACAACCTCTGCTTGAAAGTTTATGAGGGGCCATGTTTGGATCTTCCAACAGGACAGTGGAAGAAACACATCAAAAGCAAAACAAAAATGGGTCACTGAGCACAAAACCAAGCAAGACCTGAACCCATATAGAAAATGAGTGGGCTGAACTGAAGAGAAGAAGTGCCAACATGGATCTGGGAACCTGAATGATCTGGAGAGACTCTGTATGGAGGAATGGTCTCTGATCTCTTGTCAGGTGTTCTCCAAACTCATCAGGCATTATAAGAGAAGACTCAGAGCTGTTTTCTTGGAAAAAGGAGGTTGCAAGTATTTAATAAAAGGGGGCAAATAATTGTTCCCAATTGTATAATTGCTCCAAAAAATTGTTTTGGAGAAAAACATTTATTTCATAATGTGATTATCACATTGTAGATTATGCTGTATCATCAAGCACTTCCATGAGTGAGGTTTAACTGCAGTGAAGAAGGCTTCAGGACATCTCTAGAGTGTCCAGACAACTCCCAGGGCCTTAAATCCCATCGACAACCTGCAGTCAATCTTCAAAAGGCGAGTGGACAAGATGTAGTCCACAAATAATTTCACAACAAGGCAAGGATTGATCGTCCTCAGTCAGGATTTCCAACATGCCAGATCTAACTGCACAGCATATCAAGAATGTTCAACATCATAAACACTGACTCTCTGCATGTTGAATATTTTCTTCAATAAAAGCTTTTAAAACGTATGAAATGCTTGTCGTTGTTTTCCACTATAGCAGAAAAAAATACTGAAGCAGCAAACTTTTTGAAACAAAAAATATGTCACTGCCAATTCATTTAGTCACGTCTGTACATTAAACGAAATTGCTTTCTTACGAAATTCAGATGTAAACAATAATTTCAAGCATAACCTTACATTTATTTATTTAATGGTTTTGAATGGGTTATGTTTTGCTTGAAAAACAATCAGAGGCTTTTTGTTTTATTTTGAAAACAACCGGAGACTTTTATTTTGAAGTGTAGAAACCGGAAGTGCCGTCGAACGTTGGCTTCACAAAGTTATGGACCACAGTGGTAAGGAGGGAAATTTATGGTTTTCAATCTTTTTGGTTTATTTGACCCAAAACGCGTTTCTTATAACCACAAAGTAACTGCGTTGAACTTTTACATATGTTTACGTATGGAAAGACGAGCTACATCTTGTGTATCCCTGTTTAAAGACCTTTTCCTATCACTATGGGTTATGGCCTCTATGTCAATGTGGCGTTTATCTTCCTGATTCCGTTTATTCATCTTTAAAAAAGCCTGCATCATGATATAAATAAATACGCACTGTCTTTGAGGTTATTTGGGGTAACCTAAAAGCAAACTGAGTTGAATTTTGTTGTATCGCTCACATCAGTTTCAATGTTATACTAGCAGAAATATCGTCTTATGCACAAATACAAATGTGTCATCTGTTTTCTAACTTTATATATATTTCGAATTACTTACTCAGTTTGTGATTAGTTAAAGGGATAGTTCACCCCAAAATTAATTTCTTTAGTCATTTACTCACCCTCAAGTTGTTCCAAACCTGTACGAGTTTCTTTCTCCTGCTGAACACAAAATATGTTGGTAATCACACATCTGACGGCACCCATTGACTTCTAGTGAAACCCAAACATACAAATGGGAGTCGATGGCTACCGTCTGGTTACCAACATTCTTTAAAATATCTTCTTTTTGTGTTCAACAGAAGAAAGAAACTGATACAGGTTTGGAACAACTTGAGGTTGAGTAAATGATGCCAGAATTTCCATTTTGGTGAATTATCCATTTAAAATCAAGATGTTCACTGATTATGTACAGGTATTAAGAACTTATTAAGGTGCTGTTTTTGAGTGAACGTCAAAATTAACACTTAATTTTTGTTCTTCAATTCAGACCATGATATGCAGGGTACAGATGGGCCATTAGGTGGTCCTGATGTCAGGAGGAGGATCCCAATCAAACTTCTTCCCAAACAGGCCAGGAATAAACCTCCCCCACGACCGCAGAGACAAGCGGGACGGTTACCACCCAAAACCCATTCTGGAGAAGAAGGTATTGTCTATATATTTTAACTGACACAATTTTATCAAGCATATTATCAGATGCACTAAATGGAGCTTGTGTTTCTGCTAGAAGGGTTTAACTTCAAGCAGGAAGACCGATTCGATTGTGGTGTGAAAGCAGGAGACGCATTTGCAAGTCAGCGTCGGTTCCCACAGCAGCTGTACTGGGATTACAAGGTACATCTATATGAATATATATCGTAAAACGTACTCTCCTTTTGATTGCTCATGTTTGAAGTGTTGTGGTCACTGTTGTTTTTTTGTTTTTTTTTCCAGCTAAACTTGATCGGTGAAAAGGATGAGACACCTGTCCATTTTTGTGACAAATGTGGACTGCCAATTAAAACATATGGCCGCATGGTGAGAGCAGTTAATGTGCAACAAATGTTCAGTTTACAATTGACCGCCTTTTGGTGACGTTATATCATTTCTTTGCAGATCCCATGTAAGCATGTTTTCTGCTACGAGTGTGCATTGCATCATGAAAGGAAGGGTGATAAGATGTGTCCAGGGTAAGAATAAGCAGCAGTTCTTGTCTCTACTTAAGTGTTTGCATACAAATATGGCCTTATAATGTTGTATAATAGAGAATGCTTGGCTTAATGCAGATATAGGACTGGATATATATATATATATATATATATATATATATATATAATTACAAAAGAGATCCATTTCAAATAAATTCTGTTCTTTTATACATGAAAGAATCATGAAAAAGCAACTGTTTTCAACATTGATAATAATATGGTTTGTACTAATGTTCATATGACCTCTCTGCTTCCAGTCTGAACATGTACAGCTGTACAGACCCGGTCCAGCGGATTGAACAGTGCCATCGTGGCTCTCTCCACATGTGTAGTATCGTTCAGGGTTGCAAACGCACCTATCTGTCCCAGAGGGACCTGCAGGCCCACATCAACCACCGACACATGCGGTCCGGCAAGAGCTCCAGCAGCCGCTCTGACCCTCTTCACCTTCCTCCAGCCTCGGAGGTGTCCGACCGCTTCCGCGTGCCTCCGCCTCACCTGCCCAAGCCCCATGTGCTCATCCCTCCTCCTCTGGCTCATCAAGGTCACGACCCCTACAGCCAACCTCCCTCTTCCTCCCACGATGACCACCGACCTCCACAAGGCCAACCGCCGGGAGACATGGGGCCATCCCGCTCTCTCTCTCAGGAGACCTTCCGCATCTCGACCGTCACCACGCGAAAGCACAGCAACCTCATCACGGTTCCCATCCAGGACGATTCTGCGAGCTCCGGACCATCAGCACGTGACACACTTCCCCAGCCTGGCAACGCTCCACCCCCTCACCACCACCCCGGAGACTATCCAGGTCAGCCCGTCGTGACCCATCCGCATCACATGATGGCGCCACCTCAGCAGCATTACGGACCCCCTCCGCCCCCTCCACCCATCAATCACCCCATGCCGCACCCAGGACAAGGCTCTAACACGCCTCACATGGTTTTCAACCAGGCCCCTCCGCCACTGTCGTCTGTCCCCCCACCCATTACCCCGCCTCCCGGACACCTCATTGGTCAGATGCCCCCGTTTATGAACCATCCTCCACCCGGGCCACCCCCTCAACACGGTGGACCCCCTGTCAACGCCCCGCCACCCCATCATTACAACCCTCAGTTTCCTGAGGACAAGAGCACACTCAGCCCGCCGTTTAACCAGCCAGGGGGCATGAGTCCAGGAATGTGGCCGGCACCCAGGGGTCCTCCTCCCCGAATGCAGGGTCCCCCTCCGCAGGGACAGATGCCGGGGCCGCATCACCCGGATCAGGGCCGCTACAGACCATATTACCAGTAATTATGTGTTTTTGTTGTTGCTAAACAAAGTGATTTAGTATGTAAACTTGGCAGGGATTCGAAAGCATATTTTATAGTCTGAAAATAACAACTGTATAGTAGAGATCAGTACTGAGTGGTGTTTTAAATCTTGTCGTCAGATATTCAAACATTTCCTTTTCAATAATTGAGCCCATACATGCTGCATTTTAGGGGCTTTTGTTGATTGTTGAATGTTTCTTGAATGTAATCAAAATTAAATGTACAAATTAAATGCGCTTTTATTGCGTTCATCTACTCTCTCACCTAGTGTCTTAAATTCAGTTTTAAATCTTGATAGGTCTTGACAAAAACGAGCTTGGCGTTTATATTCAATCTTGTTTTAATGGTCCTGAAAGTTTGGCTGAAAACAGACAGGTAAATGTTATACATGAAGAAGTCCAAAATGTATCATTTTATTTCTCTTAATTGGCTGTCTCATAGATGTTTACATATTCGCTGTCTATTACATGTGAATTAAAAGCAGGTAGTGTATAGTTCTTTTACTTTTATTACAATGCATTTGTTTACAATCACATTCATTATAAAAATCACCTGTATTAACATGACAGGATTTTCAAAAGCAAAATACATATAGTTCTAGTATTGAATTATGGTCTTTCCCAAACACTCTACAGAAGAAATTGCTTATGAATTCATTGAAATTAATTGTTAAACTCAACAAAAGTTTACATAAACCTATAAAGATGATAAGTAACATAGGCACTGCAACACACATTTTTGCTGGGATGATGACTTCACAGGAAAAGAGAAGCCGAAAATGAAGCTAAATTAGACACCGAAACTACGTTTAATGACGAGACAAAGCTATAAATATATATTATAATCTTTTAGCACATTAGATTTACTATTTCCGCAGTATAATTCAGCTAGCTCGTAAAGGTGTTTGATTGGTCCGTCTTGAATACCGATTTCAGACATCCATCCGCAGCCCTGACACACACATTGTGCGTTTTAAAAACTATATGCGTGACATTTTTCAACATGTTTCTTGTCCCCTACTCGTCAAAGAGGAAACATTTGCTGGACATTGGAGACTGGAAATCACCTGAGCTGAGGCTGTAATGTTTCGTATCGTTAATGACTTTGCTCTCTGAGCAGAAACACGTGCGGCAGATGATGACGATTGACGACCATAACTGAGGGAAAAAGGAGGACCTGGCTTGTAAGGTAAGAATTGTTATCATTAAAAGTTGTTTAAAATGGTCTTAGCCAATTAAATTTCTAATATCCAAAAGTGTATAAATCACTTTTATTTTACGTACTCTACATCTCTGTATGCTGCTGTAAACTAAAATAGTGCATTTTCTTTTTTTCAAAGCAGCCTGAGTTGAGTGTGTATCCACTGGCTAGACTCGGTAGTGGTGAAATGCACTCTTAAAACATTTACTACAACCTTTCCAGCATGATTTAAAGAGTATTTCTGCAGAGTTTTCTGTTCCTCACACAGTCGTCTCTCTGAACGACTATATGCTTATATCCTGCAAAGAGATATAGACACAAATATGGAGAACCTTGACAGCAGATGGTTGTTGTAAATTAAATATTTATTATCCCAATATTGAATCATGCTATGTACCTTTTCTAGTTCCCCATGATCTGGATGCTTCTCTAGAATGTGCAACATGGCGTCATCATGTAGTGTGGGGTAAAAGATGGAAGTCTTAATCTCGTCATCAAAAATGTACTTTGATTTATGTTAAATTTATTTATGTTAAAATTATGTTAAAAAATGTCCTGTACTGATTCCTGAAACAATGTCAACCAGCAGCCATTCTTTAATGTTGTAGTTCTTCATCCATCCAATGATTGGAAGAAAGGAAAGAGCTGCGTTACAATTTACACCATTAAAAACACAATTTACTCTCAATAACAACATCTTCAAATGTGCTTGTAATAAGATACCATATTTCAGATTATTATTAATGCGTTATTGATGACAGAAGGAAGACAGGCTAACAATGAATAAATGGTGACTATATGAAGCGAAAGTTTCTTACGTGAAGTAGTCATTCAGTAATTGTGGCTTAAAGTTTTGCGGTTCCTGTTGATCCTCTTGTGCTGTTCTGCAAAGGAATCCTCTGAACAGGCCTGACATAGTGTGTCCCGAAGGGCTGCATCCTGATTGGTTAGTTTTCATATGGAGCTCGATTGATGAGGGAGCCATCATTAGTCTTACAGATATTGTGGGCTGTCTTTTGCGAGCATGAATCATTAAGGACTTCCTTATTTACATGCTTTTTAGTGAAGGAAACGTAAAAATAGAGCTGCAGGAAAATTATTGATTAAAATGATTGAATTATGAATTACTGCATGGAAGTCACAACAGTAGACTCATTAATCCTCCATTTACAAATGGACTTCACAGAGATGCTTTTGAAATCTGTTCAAGCAAATGAACAATACTGATATTCTCTTTTGTTTGAGAAATGGTTCAGTGCTTCTTGTGAATGGTAATGTTTTTCATAGAGACGGAGTGACTCTAACCTACACTTGCAATCTCGTCTCATTTGGACTCCAGGTTTGCAGGTTAGTCTCTTCACACCATTTTTAAACAACTAGTTAGATTAGTGGTTCACAAATACTTTTTTTTTCTGCTACTGAAATTCCTTTTGCCTGACTGATTAAATGTCTATATCAAGTTTTGACTGTTTACCGAGTCAACGAATGTACATGGTTTTCGATTGCAATATGACTCTGCAACTTCTATTTTGTAAAATGTGATTTAACCAAATAGAACTTGTTCCTGGATCGATATCCTTTGTTTGTCCAGGAACCACATTCCAATCACACAATTAATGTTCTATAACCATAATCCTAACCTACATCTGAAATCAGTGAGACATTATTTGGCTATCGTGTTGTTCAGCCTAACTCTAATTTCTGATTGGTTAATATGAATGTTTTTCCATACCGGAAAGTACTTCTTATATATGTAATGTCTTCACTGTAAAAAAAAAATATTGTTGGTTTAAATTAAAAGAATTAAGTAACCTGGTACTTTTGTATCTATATACCACACAATTCCTCAACTACACCATTAGCTTGAATATGAAATATTATTTTTTATGATGCATTGCATTTATGCTCTAGTACTAGGCCTTCATTTCTGTGCAAAAATTTTCAGATATATGCTGGATTTTTTTTTTTTTGACACATGAAAAAAATATATTTAGATTTTTTCCCATTTCCCATTCATTTCAATGGAGAGCAGAAGTGTAAAAAAATTTTTTACATACCTTCAGAACAACCGAATCAAGTCCATTTTTTGTGTGTATAGATTGATAATGTATGAAAAGTCACTGAATCTTATTCCACTGAGATGAAAGGAACCTTTTTTTTATTAAGTAAAAGTTGATTGGGGTTGTATAGACCCCATGACCTGATTGAGGGACAAGTTCTTTTGTTAGTTTGTCCTCTTCACTACCTCAAGAACAACTTCCTTTCTCATATGGATAGTTATTCATTCACTGCTAGGAATTCGATTTATAATACGTATTACTCCAGAAAAACTTGATCTGCACATGCCTTTATCAGTTAAGGTTTGTCTCAAATGTGTGCTTTTTGTTTGTTATGGTTTGTTATCAGGAAGGACAGTGTATATTTTGGAAAACATTTTTTTTTAATTTAAGAATACAAATAGTGCACAAAAAACCCATACTGTTCAAAAAGACAAAAGACACTGATAGTAAACTGATAAGAGTGTTTGTACAACATGTTCACCACAAATCCAATAATTTAGGGACACGACACATTGGCATATCTAGAGCTAATTCATTCTGCATGCAGCACACAATACAAAACTGCTACATACTAAATCAAATTAATTCTTATATACATTGATTTCAAAGTTCTACATTGCAGAGGATTCAAGTTGATTCTCATCAGAACCTTGTCTCGGGTATGGTGTCTGTTTCGACTTCTGTTTTCATGTCCTGCAGAAAAAAAGAGCAATTTAACTTCAAACATCTCTTCAAAAAAATGTATGAAATATTCCTTTAAGTAACTTATTTAATGCTTCATTTTAACAGGTTCAATCCCAGGTGTCTGTTGGGTCACATACTGGTATTTCTCGGATTGTCAACCCATTGGACATGCTGCTGCCGTTAACGTGTTGGTATTGGAAACTTCCTGAGACCTGTTTACATCAATTTAAATGAGATTTTAATAATGCATTTTTGATCAAATATTAACTTTAACATTTAATATTTGAATGAACAAATGAAGTTTGTACGTTTTCCTTCACCTTCTCGCTCACAGTCTGCGGTGGATGGGACTCATAAATGTAGAGCATTGCATCATGGATGGTCAAAAAGAAGATAGACGTCTTTATTTCATCATCAAAAAACTTGCAGTTCCTCAGCTTCTCTATGATATATGCTGGAAACGACAAGTCAAAGGTTTGAGTTACTGCACACTTTTATTATTACAGACCATTATGCGACATTATAATAGTCATGGCACTGCAGATAAGGAGTTACATTGTCTTTGTATCTGTGCATCTTTAAGGAAATAAAGTACTTACGGTCACAGCCAACTATGTAAACATCAACATCAATGCGTATAAATTCCTTTAAGGCCTGTAAACAGAAGTGTTTGTGGTTTATTAGATCTTTTTCAGATTGCACAGAGAAATACTAAGAGATGAGCAAAAATGATTAAATGTACGCTTTGATTTCAGAATGTCTTACCGCTTGGAGACCCTTGAGTGCAGATATATCCAGGAATGATACAGCAGAGAAGTCCAGGACCAAACTGTGGATGTTCACAGGAGGGACAGAGATGTTGGCAGGAAGGTTTGCGTTCCAGTTCACCTCGATTGGAAGATCCGAATAGTCTGTGGGCTTGTCTAGATCCTCCATGTTGCTTTCGTCCTCTGACTCTTCAATGGGCATTGAACATGTGGCCTGTAGTCCGTTCTGGAGCCGGAAGGTATTAAAGCATAACTTTAGATAGATATCTACATGATAAGATTGGTTTATTGAGTTTGTCATCAAAGCAGTGGATGAAATACAGCTACATTACATGATAACATTTATTAAGAAGTCCTTGAGGACGTACAGACGTTAAGGTCAGCTCTCCTTTCTTTATCAGTTTCTTGATCTTCTTTAGGGCCTTGTTTCTCTTCCTCAGGATTCTCAGAGGATTAAAGCCCACCTGCATCAAAGTAAACAGGTTAGGTTGTAATCAGGTCATCTGAGTTATCGTCTGGGTTATCACACTGAAACTACTGCACTCACAGCGTCCTTCAGTTTGTCTCTGAAGAAATCGATGTTTGCGAAGAAAATTGGAGATGGGATTCTGAAAATCTTCACTCCCTCTGGCTCATAGATCTGTAGGAGATTCAGAAAGAAAGAAAATAAGGCAAACTTTTGTTTCTTTCATTCATCTGCTTCATGTGCATAGACACATCAAGTAATAGATAATAGAGTCATAGAATATAATTTTATATTACGCGTCTTTTACTAGTATGCTGACATTTAAAAAAATGTATACAATGTCATTGTGTTCATGTTCTATTGCAAAAAATACTTGTGCTGCTATTGAGGTAGGATATGGGAAAGGTTATATAATTACATGTAAGGTAATTACAATGAAAAGCGATTAGTTGACTTAACTTAAAAAGGTGGGGAAACCTGTTGCCTTTAAATGAAGTCAATAACCTTATGCGTAATTGGAAAAATTAAGTTATGTGAACTTGACAATTCCTCATAACTTAATTTTTTCAATACTTAATTTTAAGGCAGTTCATTTTAAGTTAAGTCAACTGATCACTGAAAAGACACTTAAAGGGATACTCCACTTTTTTTTTTTTTTGGAAATAGGCTCATTTTACCACTCCCCCAGAATTAAACAGTTGTGTTTTACCATTTTCAAATCCATTCAGCCGATTTTCTGATACTAAGAAGAATATCAGTAACCAGACAGTTTCTGGTCTCATTGACTTCCATAATATATTTTTTCCTACTATGGAAGTCAATGAGACCAGAAACTGTCTGGTTACTGACATGCTTCTAAATATCAGAAAATCGGCTGAATGGATTTGAAATCGGTAAAACTCAACTGTTTAACTCCGAGGGAGTTGTAAAATGAGCCTATTTCCAAAAAAAGTGGAGTGTCCCTTTAATATAAAGTGGGAACAAAAATAGAAACAATGCATATATGTTACAGAATGAACAAAGAGAATGAATCGACCTACATTGACATAGTCCTTGCAATCTCTGTAGATATCTGTTCCCGAGATATTAGCCAGGATACTGCAGCGTGGACTGAAAGTCAGAACAGATAAATAGATTATCAAAAGTATAAGTGAATAGATTATAAGTGAGAACAGATATATGATAGTGATTTTGCCACATTTCTCTGTCTAAATCTCCTGGTTTCACAGACAAGGCTGAAGCTTGCAGACTAAAATGCATGTTTTAACATGAAAGTAACTTGCACTGGCATATCTCGAAATATGTCAATCAATGCCATTGTTTTGTCTCAAGATGCACACCAGTACTGTTTTTTTTTTCTAAGACACATTTATAAAAGCAATTTAAATCTCCTATTTGAACTAGGACCCACTCCTGGCTAAATCTAAGCCTTGCCTGTGAAACCAGGCCAATATAGATTTAAAGAAGCAATAGATATTTGCACCATATATTCAAATTATTTTATTTTATCCAGATGAGTGGATCTGTCGTGTCAACACTTACTACTGAGCCCTGAAGACCACAGTGAGGAGCTCCAGTCCAAGACCAATGGCAAGTCCTATGTCCAGCCCCAGGAATATAGCTGCCAAACAGGTCCCCACCCAAACAATCTGGAGGACAACAACATAACACCAACTACAGAAATCAGAGAAATGCCACTTGACGGTTCACTTAAAGGTGATTTATTTGGGATGTTATCAATGGAAGTTTAAATTTGAAATCTGTTTGTCTACTTTTTTCTGAAATCCCTTCTTTACATTTACAGGGAGAGGTCAAAGGCTCTTACACAGTCAGGACGGTCTTTCTTCCACAGGTAAGGAACTGTAACCACCTGCATCAACATCCCCTTCAGGTTCACCATCACCACTGCGCCCAACACCGACTGCAGTCACACACCACACAACTATTTCATACATTTAATCTCAAAGCCTTCTGTTAGCAAAGTCAACATGTCCATGTTTAAAGGATTTAAATGATTTGTATTTGATTCCTACCTTTGGTAGAGGTTCCAGCAAAAACCCTATCCCCAAGATTACCACCAACACGATAATGGCAGAGAGTAAACCAGCTATCTGTAAAGTACATAAAATATAGCTAAAGATGAGATTTATAAAGATTTATAATGTTACAAAAGATTTCTATTTCAAATAACTGCTATATATATATTATGAACTTTATATTCATTAAAGAAACATACGATTATACATGTTTCTTAAGCAGCAAATCAGCATATAAGAATGATTTCTAAAGGATCGTGACACTGAAAACTAGAGTAATGATGATGAAAATTCAGCTTTGCCAACAATTTTACAGTTTTTTACTGTACGTTTGATTAAAGAAATGCAATCTTGGTGAGAATAAAAGTCTAATCAATCTTACCAACCCCCAAGATTAGTGTGTGTGTGTAAAACAAGTCTAGGAATAGGTTATTATATTTATACAAACCCAATTCCATAAAAGTTGGGACATTCCACTGTACAAATTGTGAATAAAAACAGAATGCAATGATGTGGAAGTTTCAAATTTCAATATTATATTTAGAATACAACATAGATGACATATCAAATGTTTAAACTGAGAAAATGCATAATTTTAAGGGAAAAATAAGTTGATTTTAAATTTCATGGCATCAACACATCTCAAAAAAGTTGGGACAAGGCCATTTTTACCACTGTGTGGCATCCTCTCTTCTTTTAAAGGGTTAGTTCACCCAAAAATACTCACCCTCATGCTGTACCAACCCCGTAAGACCTTCGTTCGTCTTCGGAATACAAATGAAGATATTTTTGATTAAATTTGAGAGCTGTATAACTACCACATTGGCTGCCTAAGGGACTGCCTCTTGACGGCCCAGAAAGTCAATGAAGAAAATGTTTAAATATCCCAAGTGACTACTGTGGCTCAACTATATGTTTATCAAGCGACGCGAATACTTTTTGTGCGAAAAAACAAACAAAAGTCACGAGTTTATTCGACTATTTCTTTTCTTCCTTGTAGGCCAGAACGAGACTTCCTTATAGATTTCCACGACGCATGCGCGAGAATTGCGATCTGGAGTAGTGTAAGCTGGTGTGAGCAGATCGCAAATCTCGCGCATGCGTCGTGGAAATCTAAGGAAGTCTCGTTCTGGCCTACAAGGAAGAAAAGAAATAGTCGAATAAACTCGTTATTTTTGTTTGTTTTTTCGCACAAAAAGTATTCGCGTCGCTTGATAAACATATAGTTGAGCCACGGTAGTCACTTGGGATATTTAAACATTTTCTTCATTGACTTTCTGGGCCGTCAAGAGGCAGTCCCTTAGGAGCCTATGTGGTAGTTATACAGCTCTCAAATTTAATCAAAAATATCTTCATTTGTGTTCCGAAGACGAACGAAGGTCTTACGGGGTTGGTACAGCATGGGGGTGAGTAATTAATGACTTAATTTTCATTTTTGGGTGAACTAACCCTTTAATAACAGTCTGCAAACGTCTGGGCACTGAGGAGACAAGTTGCTCAAGTTTAGGAATAGGAATGTTGTCCCATTCTTGTTTAATAAAGGCTTCTAGCTGCTCAACTGTCTTAGGTCTTCTTTGTTGCATCTTCCTCTTTATGATGCGCCAAATGTTTTCTATGGGTGAAAGATCTGGACTGCAGGCTGGCCATTTCAGTACCCGGATCCTTCTTCTACGCAGCCATGATGTTGTAATTGATGCAGTATGTGGTTTGGCATTGTCTTGTTGGAAAATACAAGGTCTTCCCTGAAAGAGACGATGTCTGGATGGGAGCATACAGTATGTTGTTCTAGAACTTGGATATACCTTTCAGCATTGATGGTGCCTTTCCAGATGTGTAAGCTGCCCATGCCACACGCACTCATGCAACCCCATACCATCAGAGATGCAGGCTTCTGAACTGAGCGCTGATAACAACTTGGGTTGTCCTTGTCCTCTTTAGTCCGGATGACATGGCGTCCCAGTTTTCCAAAAAGAACTTCAAATTTTGATTCGTCTGACCACAGAACAGTTTTCCACTTTGCTAGAGTCCACTTTAAATGAGCCTTGGCCCAGAGAAAACGCCTGCGTTTCTGGTTCCCGTTTAGATATGGCTTCTTTTTTGACCTATAGAGCTTTAGCCGGCAACGGTGAATGGCACGGTGGATTGTGTTCACTGACAATGTTTTCTGGAAGTATTCTTGAGCCCATGTTGCGATTTCCATTACAGTAGCATTCCTGTGTGTGATGCAGTGCCGTCTAAGGGCCCGAAGATCACGGGCATTCAGTATGGTTTTCCGGCCTTGACCCTTATGCACAGAGATTGTTCCAGATTCTCTGAATCTTTGGATGATATTATGCACTGTAGATGATGATAACTTCAAACTCTTTGCAATTTTTCTCTGAGAAACTCCTTTCTGATATTGCTCCACTATTTTTTGCCTCAGCATTGGGGGAATTGGTGATCCTCTGCCCATCTTGACTTCTGAGAGACACTGCCACTCTGAGAGGCTCTTTTTATACCCAATCATGTTGCCAATTGACCTAATAAGTTGCACATTGGTCCTCCAGCTGTTCCTTATATGTACATTTAACTTTTCTGGCCTCTTATTGCTACCTGTCCCAACTTTTTTGGAATTTGTAGCTCTCATGAAATCCAAAAAGAGCCAATATTTGGCATGGCAATTCAAAATGTCTCACTTTCAACATTTGATATGTCATCTATGTTGTATTCTAAATATAATATTGAAATTTGAAACTTCCACATCATTGCATTCTGTTTTTATTCACAATTTGTACAGTGTCCCAACTTTTATGGAATTGGGTTTGTAGTTTTCAATTCTTCACCACATGTCTTAACTCTTTCTGAGCATTAGAGGCCAGTATTTCTCTACTATGACTATCTATTGAGATCCCATAGATAAAAAATGACCTTTTTATGTTCCAGACAGTGAGTGAAAAAAGCTTGCAATCAGTTTTACAGAGGTTGAACATCTGATCCTTTGAGCGGTTTACCTGTGTTTTTCCTCCGGTGCTTTCTTGAACTGCACTTCTGGAGAGAGCTGTACTGGCTACCAGAGACTTGAACGATCCTCCAAAGATGTTGCTTGCCCCAAATGCAATGAGTTCCTGTGTGATTATATGTGTCATTATAGACGATTTTCCACTGACTGTTTGTCTTCTCACATTTTAGTTACATTTTAATGTGTGATATTAGGCTTACTTGATTTCCATCTACAACGTAGTCATGCTTTATAGAATAGACTTTAGCCACTGCAAAAGCCACGGCAAATCCCACAATAGCTATCGGGAAAGCCTCCACTGCTGTCATCTGGAAAATCTGCATGTCCGGAGCCTTTGGGGACTCAAAACTGGACAGATGAAAATGTGTTTCGTTTTGTTAGCTTTGCGTTCTGAAGCATAAACATTTGTTTTTGTTGCTGTATAATAGTTATGCATGACGAATTTAAAAACAATGCATTCAATTTAACTTTTAAAATGCAACATTTGGAATTTTAGCCCATATATGAAAACTTTGAGAATATCTAAATTTGACAAGATGATCTTTTTTTCTCTTCCTGGAAAATGGACCAAAAATATTAAATATAAAAAATGTTATCTAGAATGAGAATACCCTGTCCCTCTATGTAATAATAATTATTATTAATAATAATAATAAAAAATCTAAATTCAAGGGCCCCTTCAGTATGTCCCGCCAACAGAAAAAACAAACAAACATATTTTACATATTTAAATCATGGCTTTATTAGTACTGTTTTAAAATATTATGTAGATTGCAATGCTTACGTGTTTGGAATTTTCCCCACCACATCCACTCCGTGATTATCCCTGAAGTTGAACGCATAGGAGACGCCACAGGCTATGACGGTCTGTTGGGAAAAGTGCTTTTAATGATTTCTGAATGACATTTAATATTTGCTTTGAACACAAAAGATTAGATTTATGGGACTTTTGTACTTAAGGTAGGTAGTGAATTATATGCACTTGAGCTAATATTAACTTATACAGTGTTTGGCATGATAGTTTGTTAGATATAAAAATATACTGATTGATAATCTTTACCATGTCATATAAATGAATAACATTAGCTATTCCAGTGTCGGGCTACTGAATAGATAAAGGTGATGGAGACAGTACGGAAATACAGCATCTCACAAAAGAAAGTACACCCCTCACATTTTAGCAAACATTTTAGTATCTACTCAAGGGACACACTAAAGAAATGAAACTTGTATATATTTTAGAGTAGTCAATGTGCTACTCCTCTGAAAATAACTCAACATACAGCCATTATTGACAAAATAGCTGACAAAAAACTAAGTGATAATAGTGGTATGTCGTTTAACCAAGAAAACCAACATGTCCTATTCATTATGTTAATGCTTTTGCCTGCTTGACAGGACAATATAAAATTGTGTATCTTGGATTAGAGCAATTAAAATGTGTGCTTTGAGTACAATTCTCTCATACGGACCACTGGATGTTCAACATGGCACGTCATGGCACGTAACTGATTTGACAATTAGAATTGTTGCCCTCCACAAAGATGGAAGAAGATTGGTAACACCCTGAAACTGAGTTAATGTACAGTGGCCAGGGTCTTACAGAGGTTTTCCAAGACGGTTCGACTTGGAAAAGGCCTCGCAACTTAGGGTCAATGAAAAGAAGTTGCATGAGTGAGAACTGATGCATGAGTGAGTGCGGCCAGCATTGCTTTGGTTGCAGAAGGTCAGCTTGTCAGTCCTCAGACCAAGGATCCCAGCAACAACCTGTGCAGCTCCAGGAGGATGAAGGGAGGCAATGCTAGATAACAATGGGGCTCACACTAAATATTGACACTTTGGAAACTTATGGGTGTACTCACTTTTGTTGCCAGCTATTTTGACAATAATGGCTGTATGTTGAGTTATTTTCAGAGAACAGTAAATATATACTGCGAAGCACATTGACTGACTACTCTAAAATATATCCAAGTTTCATTTCTACAGTATTGTCCCATGAGTAGATGGGTGTACTCACTTTTGTGAGTTACTTTAGGTTCACTCAACTCACCATAATCACTTCTATGGGAATGGGCACAGGTAACTTGGACTTGAATCTGTCGTTGATCTCCTTCACGCCCAACACCATCACCATTACCACAAGTGAAGTGACCAGATCATGAATATTTGTGGAAGTGATCTGGGTAAATACACTCTCAAGTGTCTGCAGATAAAACAAAGGGCACAGATTGTTTTACAGGATTCATTTTTCGCTATAGTATACTTATATGATTATAGTATAGTATATGTGTGTGTGTATATATGTGTAATATATTCTGTAGGCCTAATATATTCAATAGACTGCAAAAAATGATTTTCTTCCTCAGTATTTTTGTCTTGTTTTGGAGTACAAATATCTAAAAATTCTAAAAATCAAGATACATGTACTTGACAAGCAAAATCACTTAACATATTAAGTCTTGTTTTCTGGAAAAAAGTGTCAAACTGAAGTGTGTTTTGCTTAAAACAAGAATATTTGACAAAGGGCGTCAGAACAATCTACTTCGTTCAAAGGAAAAACAAGTTTATTGTTCTTACTCCACTAGCAGATATTTTTCTTTTCTTAAGCATAAACTCACTTAATTTAAATAAAGACAATATGTCATTTTGTTTCTGAAGTAAATGTATTTTGATTTTAGAATTTTTGGATATTTTTACTGGACAACAAGACAAAAATGATTAGGCAGAACATTTCCTGCAGTGTAATATTATGTATATATGTTTATGTGTTGGCGTGCGTGTGTGTTTTCCTGGTTAACCCTGCATTATGGGGACAAAATGGATAGGGTAGTGTAGGGGGATAGAATTTGTACAGTATATAAAAACCTGAACATCTATGGAAAGTACTCTTAAAAATGAAAAACGTGTGTTTGTGTTCTTTTAAAATAACCTGTGGGTTTTAGTTCAATATAGTTTTTAATAGGGCTGTCAAACGATTAATCGCATCCAAAATAAAAGTTTGTGTTTACATAATATATATGGGTCCACTGTGTATAATTATTTTGTATATATAAAAATACACACACATGCATGTATATTTAAGAAAAAAATATTATTTATATAAAATATTTCTATTTCTATAATATAATTATATATAAATCTATATACATGAAAATATTTCTTAAATATATACAAGCATTAGTGTGTTCATATATATAAAATAATTATACACAGTGCACCCACATGTATTATATATATATTATATATACACAAACTTTTATTTTGGATGCGATTAATTGCGATTAATCGTTTGACAGTCCTAGTTTTTAACTAGTATTATTTTTGTATTGTTATTTGGATTTTAAAAGTGTAGAGAGAAAGCTTTCGTTATGCAAGTTAAGCAAAATGATTGTGACTGTGATGAGCAGGAAAAGTGTCTTATGACCTACATATATAACTGCAAGTGGTCCGCTGAAACCCGGCACAGTCAGTCCTAGTACAAACTTGAGCTGAGAAACCAGGATGTGAACAGCAGCTGCGGTGGTGAATCCTGATATCAGAGTATCCGACAGGTACTTGACAATGAACCCCACCTGCAGCAGACCCATACCAAGCTGGAAACATACAAGAGAATGAATATAAGCATTGATGTGATTGAAAATTGCTTTTTAGTTTAATAATGAGAGGATGGCTGATGTACCTGGAATAAACCAACTAGGAAAGTGAGAGAGGAAGACACTAAGATCCTCTGTTCATCTTTCGTCAGGCCCTCAAAGGCAGTGATGTTGGCAGGCGGACCCTCATCGGGCACCAGTCTGGTCACTACCGCCCCCACCATGAGACTCAATACAGGGAAAGATCCTGTTGTGAAGAACAACACATTATGGTGAGTATATTTACAGTATATTAAATATCATCATAGACAGGCAGAAATGGTTGTCTCTTTTTGATGTCTGTCTGATTGAAGTCCATCTATTTACAGTATTATTATTGTTGGTGTGAACCTGTGAAGCTAAATTTACGATACAATTTTCTTGTTTTTTGAGTGATTTGGATGTTATTCAACCATAATTTTCACAAATGCTTTTGAGGATTTCTACCTTTCTACTTTTAAGCTGCATTTAGCAGAAAATATTTGGCTGAGGATGACTGACTTCCTGTAGAGATACTTTGGTTGAGCACAATTGTGCCAAGTCTAAGTTAGAGGCTACAAACTACACTGTAAAAATTAATGTTGTTATAGCATTATATTGAAGGGGTTTGAAAGAACTAGACAGATATTGGGCCTATTGCATAGACTTAGCCACTATGTTCAGACTTAGGCCTGGTTTCAAAGACAGGGCTTCGAATAAGCCAGAATAATGCCTTGGTTCAATTAGAACATTTAAGTTAATTTTATAAACATGCCTTAGAAAATACATATTTGGTGTGCATCTTGAGACAAAACAATGGCATTGACATTTAAGATTTGTCAGTGCTAGTTGCTTTCAGTTAAAACTGCACAAACATGTATTTTAGTCTAGTCGTAAAAACATTGTCTGTGAAATGTTAAGTGTGTCTTAAGAACTAGCAAGCAGTTAGGCAAAATGTTCAATTTAAATTAGACCCATCTACCTTTTTATGTAACTGAAAAAGTTAAATAAAAAATTAGATGACTAACTTTTAAGACTAGCCTAAGCAGTTTATTCAGCCGGCCACTGTCAATGACACAATGTTGTTGGTCTCATTCACGTAACCTGCTCACAATAGTACTCACCCACTGAAATGTGTCGTGAGGTGCCCAGGAAAAAATAGAGGATGACTGGAAAAAAAGCAGCATACAATCCATACCAGGTAGAGATGGATGCCAGCAAACTGAAGGCTAGACCTTAGGGGAAAATATTGATAAGTAGGCTATTAACCAAACCCAGGTAGCATAGTTATAAATATTTACTGTATCTGATCTGTGGATGCCCTCAGTCAACTATTATCCCTCTTATCAACACCCCATTCTCTAAGTTCAACTCTTCTTTTTTTTGAAGTGTGTGGATGACATAAGCAAAAACAGTTCAGATTCTTATTAGATGGTTAGAAAGGTCATGTCAGGCTTTTGATAACATCAGTAATTAATATTAATTTTAAAAAGAGCAATAATAGCTATATCTTAAACTAAACACTCTTCCTTTGCTCAATATGTACTTCTTTTCTGGGTTATCTTCTAATGGCATTTATCATTTTACCCACTTCACTAATTTTGGCACATTTCATATCACGTCTCATCAGAGTAATCCCATAATTCAACTCTCATCAGTCACAAGCAATCACTAAATCAGTCACACACCACAGATAAACTACATTATTACAGCCTGATATCATATTACATCTATTTTAAGAGCTTACGTAGTGAACGCTCATGTTGAGTAATAAAAGCTTGATGTTACCTTGTAGGACGGCAACCAGTCCAGTGCTGATGCCAGACACAATGTCATTCAACAGCCATTCTTTTATCGAGTAGATCCTTATCCATCCAATGATAGGCACCAGAGAAACTACTGCTTTCTTTGCACGTTCTGAACTACATCTACGAAAACAAAATATATGTCTGTTATATGTCTGTTTTACATGCAATTTCATGATATTTAATACGCGTTATTTGTTACAAGTTATTAAAATTTATGTTTGTGCTATTACTCTTTAAAAAAGACTGATAGCTATGTCCAGGGCCTGAAGTAAATTTTTTCGGCCACCGGCCACTGTGGCAGGTGGATTTAAAAATTCACCCGCCACAGAGACTTTTTACCAGCCATTTTTTTTTTTTGCCTCATAAACGTTAAAAAAAAAAAAAAAAAAAAAACGGGAATTTCACAATATTGTTCTTTAACTTGTAAGAACACACATTTTAGTGCTGTCAAGTAATAATAACTCTAATAACATACATTTTAAAAAAAATCTTTTTATTCATTGATTTTGACAGACACACACACAACATAGTATATACTCAACAGATAGACCTACCGCAGCTCGTAAACAAATCACACGCGGCTGTGTTGATGGCGGATTTAGTCACGTACAGGTCTTACTCTTAACAGCTTTTAGTTACAGCGTTCAGGAACGGTTAAATATGAACTAAATTAATAATGTTATTACTGATAAAATTACCGGGTACCGGACATTTTCACCGGTTCCCAACTCCCAACATGCACAGTTGCACACGCACACACATCTGTGCAACTGTCATTGTACTTTAACCTACAACAGCGACGCATTACATTATCTCATCCCATCTCATCAACAGTTTCATACTCGCACACGTAACGTTAGTCAGAAAAAGAGCCTCATCTTCTTTCTGATCGCATGAACGTTACGAAACAACAGTCGCTGTCATAAATCAGCCGCTCACGAACCTTGCCATTGCCGCCGATTGTTCACTTTGTATTAAAATGTCTTCTTTACTTTTCTTTTTCTCATCCTCATCTTTTTGTTGGCTGTTTGTTTTGTTTCAGCTGGCCTCTTTACCCCAGTAATGTGCCGCCACATTTTAGCTAAAGTCCACCGCAATAGCGGACTTCGTTGAAATGTAAAAATCCTAATGAATCACTCAATTCTCATTGGCTACCCGCCAATGTGGCAGGTAGATTGACAGTGTTACCCGCCAATAGCAAAATTCACCCGCATTTGGCAGGTGGTCGGGTGTTAATTTCAGGCCCTGGCTATGTCTGCTGTAACATCTGGAATAGGGTTGGGTATCGAGAATCGAGTATCGATTGGAACCGAGACTAACTTTTCGTTTTTCCCGGAATCGTTCAAAAGTTAAAATTTAAATTCCTAGTTTCGATATTCACAGTCCACCGAGCGGAAGAAGAAACCGCTGAACAACACCAACGAAGAAGCGTCTACCGGAAGTGTTGGCATAACCGTGCGAGTCGAACATGAGTACCTTACGTCGCCGATCCAAAGTGTGGCTTCACTTTTCTAAAAATAACGAAATCTCGGCAAAATGCAAAATTTGTGACAAAAGGAGTATTTTTACAGAAGGAGTATTTCCTTCAGAAAGGCCGTTGGTTAGCAAGGTTAGCTAAACTTTTTTGACCCTGCCTCTTAAAAGAATCGGAATCGAGAATCGTTAGGAACCGGAATCGAAACAAGGAATCGGAATCGGAATCAGAATCGTTCAAATTCAAACGATACCCAACCCTAATCTGGAAATGTAGTATTAGCAATACATTATATTTGTAATAAAGTATTAAATATACAAAAAAGAAACCTAACCTGTTTTTACCAGTGTTTCTCTGCACTGTTTAATAAATGTTCAAAGTTTAGTAGTGTACTTACGTGAGGTACTGTTTAACATGATCCAGCAATCTCTTGTGTTTCCGATAGACTTTTGCATGTTCATCTTCGAAGCCGTCTTCTGAGTATAGTGGTCTGTTCACCGCGTACTTCTGCGTTGAGGGTCGGAGCATTGTGCGCCCGTAGAGCTGCGGCCAAAAAATCCTACTGATCTGTGTTTGGTGACCAAATCAAATTAATTCATGAATATCTGCTCCAGCTCTGGCAACCGTCAAGCTGAATCTGTCTCATTTGTATTTATATCGGCAATCACGGAAAGATGTGTAAGATGGAGGTGTTTACACAAACGCACTATGAGTAAACATCACGCAACTACACAGTGTGAGTTCATGTGTCTGTTGATGAGTGTATTACAGGATACTCCTTGTACATTTAGGCTTTTTGTCAGCAGCAAGTCTGTTGTCATAAACTGCAGTATGGATCAGCAGCTTCAAATAACACAAATAATCCCAGCAATACCAATATCAACAAAATCAATAACTTTGTTTGAAGATTTAGTTTTACCCTTATCTTTATTATATTTATATAGTTTTTGCCTTCGATGTATGATTTTTGTCCACACTTAAATATTATTTTAAATTATATTATAATTCAATTTATAAAACTAATATTATAATTCACTTTATGTGCACTGTTTAAACTTTGGGTCAGCTTTTTTAAAGGAGTAGTTCACTTTTAAAAAAAACGTTTGCTGATAATTTCCACACCCCCTTGTCATCCAAGATGTCCATGTCCATGCCACCAAACGGTTCAAGGTCTAAATGAGCGTTTCAGTGCAGCTTCAAAAGGCTTTGAACGACACCAGACGACGAATAAGGGTCTTATCTAGGACCCTTAGAGTCATGACTTGAAAAAAGATTTGTTCATTTTGGTGAACGAGTTTGAACAGAAGAGTCAAGAACGCTCATCACAGAACAGAGCAAGCCGATAAAACTTAAACTTTTTTTTTTTTTATGAGCGATCGTTTTGCTTAATAAGACCCTTATTCATCGTCTGGTGTCGTTTAAAGCCCTTTGAAGCTGCACTGAAACTCTCTTTTGGACCTTAAACCGTTTGGTTCCCATTAAAGTCCATTATATGGAGAAAATCCTGGAATGTTTTCATCAAAAACCTTAATTTCTTTTCGACTGAAGAAAGAATGACATGGACATCTTGGATGACATGGGGGTAGGGTTGGGTATCGAGAATCGAGTATCGCTTGGAACCGAGACTAACTTTTCGTTTTTCCCGGAATCGTTCAAAAGTTAAAATTTCGATTCCTAGTTTCGATATTCACAGTCGAAGTGTTGGCATAACCACGCGAGTCGAACATGAGTAGCTTACGTCGGCGATCCAAAGTGTGGCTTCACTTTTCTAAAAATAACGAAATCTCTGCAAAATGCAAAATTTGTGACAAAAGGAGTATTTTTACAAAAGGAGTATTTTTACAGAAGGAGTATTTCCTTCAGAAAGGCCGTTGGTTAGCAAGATTAGCTAAACTTTTTTGACCCTGCCTCTTAAAAGAATCGGAATCGAGAATCGTTAGGAACCGGAATCGAAACAAGGAATCGGAATCGTTATCAGAATCGTTCAAATTCAAACGATACCCAACCCTACATGGGGGTGAGTAAATTATCAGCAAAAGTTTTACTCCTTTAACTACTCCTTTAAAGAAATTAACGTTTTTTTTTTCAGCAAGGATGAATAATTAAATTGATTGAATGATTAAAAGAGTTTTACATTGTAAGAAAAATAATGTAAAATAAATGCTGTTCTTAAGAACTTTATTTTCATCAAAGAATCCTGAAATAAATGTATCAGTTTCCACAAAAATATCTAAAAAAAAACAAACAAAAAAAAAACATTGGTAATAATACGAAATGTTTAGCCAATCAGCATATTAGAATGATTTCTGAAGGATTGTGTGACTCTGAAGACTGGAGTAATGGCTGCTGGAAATTCAACTTTATTTATTAGGAATAAATTACATTCTAAAATACATTAAAATAGAAAATAGTTATTTTCAATTGTAATAGTATTTCACAATATTACTGTATTTTTGATCAAATAAATGCAGCCTTGGTGAGCAGAGGAGACTTCATTCAAAAACATCCTTACAGACCCCAAACAATTAAACAATAGTGTATTTTTGCATTGTTTTAATCCTACCTGTTCTCAGTTCAGTAGAGTATTAAATATCGCCAAGTTTGCTGTCCGTGTGTTGCTTCAAACGTTGCGGTGGTCTATCTGAGATCTTTAAAGCCATGTCCTTTTATAAATCGCTGTTCTTATCATGTCTGTAATTATTAACAGTTATCAAGATACCTTCTTCACATTACCAGCCACATCTTCTCTTATCCCTGACCATTGTTCTTTCTGATAAAAACTTGGCAAAAGCCATCCGCTTATCGATTTCTTCCTATCATCCCCTCACCTTATACGGCACAATCTTTTGATACTGCACTGAAAAAAATAATATGCTTTATCTAATCAATAAAACTGTGGCAACATATTACAAGCAATATTATTAATTAAATTGTACAAATTAGAATTAATTAGAATATCAATTTGATTAACTATTATTACTCAATTCTAATTTGCTCAATTTAATAAATAATATTGCTTGTAATCTGTTGCCACAATTTTATTGATTAGATAAAGCATATTCATTTTTACAGTGTGTGCAAATTATTCATTTGTTCTTTTCTTTTGTCAAAAAATGTTTATCTAAAAGTACACATTTTGTATATCACGTATTGGTATTAGAGATTTTTATTTATAATATATTTATTTTTAGTTACACTAGTTCTGGTCTTGGTTGTCGATTTGGTCAAAACAGCATTTCAGTCATGCCAAACTAATTGATAATGTATCAGCTATGACGCCAAAAACACCTGTTTACCCGTAGAACGGCGTTTTGTTATTGTTTACATGTCATATCCTGATGGCTAATGAATTGAATGCTGAAGGAAAGTACAATTTGTACAGTCTGAAGGTTCATTCTTTGAACGGCAAACTTCCCGTTACCTGAAATGAAGTTGTGCAAAATCATTCAGGAAAGTTTTTTTTAATTCAGGAAGTGTTTTTAATGACACATAAGTCATTGTAATTCTGAGACTCATTTAGCTTGGGGTTTCATTCTCTTGTGATTCTCTGGAAAACATTGCATCATCCTTTAATAAATTCTTTTCATTCTATCCAAATTCCTTCCATATCTTTAGTTGCGTATAATTAGTAATGTCACATTCATAGATTTATCACTATGCTATTTTTGTTGCTTTAATGGTCGGCATTCATAACCTTTGGATGTGGGTGTCTTGAGAGCGAGTGTACACTAAAAAATAGTAGTAATTTTAATTTTAAAAGAAAATGCACAAGTTAAAACCTGTTAATCACCTGTATACAATTTTAAACACAATATATTTAATTTGATTTAATTCAAAATATTGTACAAAAAAAATATTACATTTTCAACCTCAACATTTGGGTTTGTCCACATTTAACCCAAATTTGGGTTAAAACAACCCAGCATTTTTTAGTGTGCATTTCCTTATTATTCACATGTAACATTTTATTTTCTAAAGAAATATGTATGTTTTTATGGTATTGTTGTTAAAATTACACATATAGAAGCATTGGGGCATAGTGATGGAAAAAATATGAGATGCTTTATATATATATGAAAAAATGTCAATGGTTTTGTGTTCCCTCTAGAAACTTTGCGTTTGCTTTCAAAAAATTTGCAAAGTTTCTCTTAGAACGCAAATGCATTGACATAATTTTTCCTAAAATCTCATATATTTTTTTTTTCCCATTACCTTTTCCATTTTGTGGCTGTGTATTTTTATAAGTAAAACTTAATATCCTCCTTAAAGTTCTTGTGAGAAGCAAGTAAAGACTTTATATTAAAAGTACCACCTATATTATTAACAGTATATTAACAAACCAGTTTAAATAGGTTGGTATTTTCAAGGCTATGTTAAGCACACGACGAGGTGAAGAAGAATCCAAAATAAACCATTTTTAATCATGTAATCCAAACAAACATACAGGAGATTTCAGGAGCAAAACAATAGAATGCTAACCACATATAACGCAAAAGATAACTGACGAAGAAACTAAAACACAGGGCCTCAACACACATGGATAACAAGGGAACTAAATGAACAACGGGTAAACTAAATCACTAGGTCAACATACAGTAACAGGGAACCAAACGCATTAAAACAAAACTTTTACAGGTAAATTAACATTATATCATTGAATGACATACAGCTTGTAAAATACAGTCAACAAAATGGATTAGTTGTTTGCATTATTTCTCTCATCGTGTCCTAACTCAATTTGTGAATGAGAAGATCCAGCCCTTCTCTTACATGTGAACCTGCCGCTTTTATCATCAAATTAGTTTATGCCTCTGTTTTCTTCAGGTCCAGAAGCTTGCATCAGAACTGGCAGCTCTTTGATATAAGAGGTTTGAGATGTGTCTGCTACACTGAAGACAATATTTGACTGGATATTCCAATGTGAGCTGCAGGTGCAACCACTTTTTATCAGTATAATGATATGAGTGAGAAGATGTGCTTGATATCTTGGGTTATATTCCAGCTTGATGATCTACATTGATATGCTTGTTGACCTCACACTCTGCAAGCAGTTAAACAGGAAAAATAATGTATACGTTATATATATATATATATATTTAAAAAAAAACAAAACAATAATATTGTGAAATGTAATTTCACATTTGTAATTTATTTGTAATTTATTCCTAAAAAAATGTCATCTATTCCCAAGAATCATTTCAGAATCATAACTCCAGTCTTCAGTGTCACATGATAATTCAGAAATCATTCTAATATGATGATTTTCTACACAATAAACATTTATTATTATCAATGTTGCAAACAGTTTTACTGCTTAATTTTTATGTATTTTTTTTTGATGAATAGAAGATTAAAAAAGAACAGCGTTTATTATACATTATAAATGTATTTTCTGTCACTTTCAATCATTTTAATCATCAATCAAGCATTATTTCTTCTTTTTTAAATCATACGGAATCCACATTTTAAACTTAGTATATAATACAGATAAATAATGCATGAGAAAGTAACATTTTCATTTAACATAATATATATATACTGTATATATTACATACATATATAATATAATATATAATTTTATACTTAATATAAATGATATTGAATACACATTTTATGTGTTTGTCCTGTATTAAACTTATTTTTTGTTCTTCTATTGCTATCATTATGTTTCTATGCGTCATCACTGAGTGTGAAAATTATTTATCAGTGCACTAGATTTTTACAGCATAGACTTTACACCTAGAGCCATAATAATTATCAAGGAGATCACTATGTGATCTTTGTAGATAAGGTGGCAATCCTCACCACAGTAATTAATCAATCTATTTTAACTTTCCATGATGTTTGTCAACTTTTGATTCTGTGATTTATGCCTTTAATTATGTTAGCTTCTCTGACTCTAAACCACTTACTGTTAATCGTTTACTGTGCAGTCTCATGTAAAGTTGAATTATACACTCTAATACTAAAGATCGTAGAAAAGGAGACACTCAATGTGTAAACGTACCTTACAAAGCCAGAGTCGGTCAGTTAGTGAGTATAGTCAGGGATGTGTGTGTTTCAGGCACCCATGTCCTTGTGTGTTTAATGTGCTCAGTTACTGTTACCAAATGTTTAAAGTACACAAAAAACTCCCAGTGCAACACAGGAATGTCAACAGAAATTAAACAGGTGCTTTTTTGTTGAGCTTGTAATTTATTTAATCTTAAGTAAACAGAAAGGTCCATCTATGTATGTGTGAGGAAAATTCCGAACATTTTGGAGGATGATGGTCTACACTGTAAAAAAATATTGTTGGTTTAACTTAAAAAAGTAAAGTTTTAAGTTGATCGAACTGGAAAAAGTGAGTTAATAAATGAAGGAGATTGATTTAATCATCAGAAACTCAAAATAATAAGTTATCTCAACTAAATAAATTATTTAAGTTGATGTGACAAAAGAAAAAATGTTGTGATAACAAATCTTGAAAATATTTTTTTACAGTCATGCAGTTTACCACTGTTTGGCAAAATTGGACGTGTGCCATTTAGCCCATGTCTGTTTGCTTTGAGGTCAGAGCAAACAGATATGTTGATAAAATTCACTTTTAGCATTTAAACTTTACTCTTTTTCTTCCAAGAAAATAGACCAACAAAATTGATGACTCATCCTGCACTACAAATTTTTGTCCAATTTTTGTCAGATGCTCTCTAGAATGAAACTGCCCTCCCCCAAATACACCTTACCTCTGACTTTCACACAGTTATGTAACCTAAAGGCTATTGATTATTTAAAAAAAAGAAAAAGGGATATGCTTCGATATGCTCCACCCCGACTTCTTGTTTTAATAGGAAATACATCAACACATGAAGGATTATATTTGACTCGGCCAGTTTGACATTACTCATAATGTGTCACAAGTAAATAACAGAGAGAAGTTTCTGACCACAGTGACACCCCAAGACCAAATCAGGGTCAGCCGACTAGTAAAGCACACAGAGACACTAAAATGTTATTTCCCAGGTGATTTATTTACAAATATTAAATGTTCTTCTGCTTTAAGATTTTCAATGAACAGTTCTTAACAAGAAATATATGGCCCTTCTTGAGGTCCTTACTGATGAACAGGCCTCCACGGGATGAACATCCTGTATTGTGCGGATTGCCATTTTGCCTCAAAAATAAGGCTGTAAAAATGAAAGCACTTAATGTTTTTTAACAACAGATATTTTGTTATTTTTCTAGTTCTTCCAGGACAAACGTCTCCTGACTCATTATCAGCAAACGAATAGGAAGAGGATGACTGTTTCCCAGTGAGTGAGTTGTTTTTCTCAGTTTGAAAGTCCATGAATTGCCTAAACATGGAAGAGAAACACTTATTTGGTGGGTTGCTGATTTGAGTTATCTGATAATATAAAAAGATTGGGATGCTCACCAAATGTTGGTTGTCATAGGTCTCAATCAGTTCCTCATCTTCAGTAAATGGAAGTGGCTCTTTGTCATCTTGCAACTGTAAAATCTTAACATATATAAACAGATTAACATACTAATCATATTCATTTTACAGTATGTGCGCTGTATTGGAATTTTCTAAATGCACAGAATACTCAGATACGACACATCTCAAAATGTACACTACTAATCAAAAGTTTGGGGTTGTAAGATGTTTTTTTTAAAGTGTCTTTTAAAGCATTTATCGATCAAAAATACAGTAAAAACTGTAATATTGTGAAATCTTGTTAGAATTTAAAACAACAGTTTTTTTTATTGAAATATATTTTAAATTGTAACTTATTCATGTGATTGAAAAGCAAGATTTTCTGCTGCTATTACTCCAGTCTTCAGCGTCACATGATTTGGTACTCAGAATTTCTTATTAATGTTGAAAACGATGTTGCTGTTTGATATTTTTGTGCAAACTGTGATACCACCTGATAGTTTAATGTAATGCTAACCAATAAAGCTAGGTGGTTTCTTAAGTTGGATAATTAATCTGCTATGTCATGTTTATGACAGGTTGTGTTGTCTTAGTAATGTCAAGTTGTCATGACAAAGACACTGACGGGTTATGATGTTATTGGTTTATGTCAAGGTGTCATAACAAAGACATCTCAAACAATGTCATATATTTGCATTAAAAATGTCATAACTGAGCACACAGTTGTCACAAACATGCATAAAATCACCTCCATATTCATAACATATGTCATGTCATGATTATGAAGGTGTCATATTAATCTTATGCACCCCCTTCTGTCTATTCAGTCTCCCCTCAAGCTAAAAAAAAAACCAAAAACAAATGAATGCTATTAATTTTACCTTCTCAGCTAATAGATCCTGCTCATTTCCACTGGAGGTTTCCAGCTGGATGAAAAGAATGGCGTCATGGACCGAGAGGAAGAGAAGGTCTCTGGTAACCTCCTCGTCAAAGAAAGACAGGGCCTCCATTCTCCTGACAAGCTCACCTGTGACACGAGGACCCTTTAGGTTATTCACTGTATACAAACCTGGCATTATCAGGCTGGAGCTTGTATCAACGTTATGTTATTGAGCCAGGCCTTACCATCACAGCCTGCGATATAGACGCTAACCCCAATTCGTATGAATTCCTTTACGACCTGCGAAGATGAGGAGTTACTAATTAGCTAATTCCTAGGAATACTTACAGCCACAAGGTATTTTAAAGTATGTTTCAATTTGCTTTTGTCTATACAATGTGTTTCAAAACCCCACTGACTTTCATTGTATGGATGGACATTTGTGTTCAAATCACCTTCAGATTTTGGCTAAGCATTACTGCAGTAAAATCATGACAGCAAAGAGTAAAAAAGATGGCACACCAGTTTGAGGGACTTGGCTGCTACCACATCCAGGAATGAGACAGCTGAGAAGTCCACAACCAGGCTGTGAATATGGACCCTGGGCACTGACACATCGACAGGTAGCTCAGACCTCCAGTCTACCTGGACCTTCACCTCTGAATCTGGCCCCTTCTCCAGCCCAGGAGAACCCTGCTCGTTTTCAAAGGCTTTGTTTTCTACTCCCAATGAGGCCACTGGTATCAAACCATTCTGTGAAGGAGAGCAGATATGGGAAAGTCAAGAATGTGGTGTCATGAAATCAGGTCAGTGAAAATAGGCTTTGAAGGAGTAGTTCACTTTTAAAAAAACTTCTGCTGATAATTTACTCACCCCCATGTCATCCAAGATGTTCATTTCATTCTTTCTTCAGTCGAAAAGAAATTAAGGTTTTTGATGAAAACATTCCAGCATTTTTTTCCATATAATGCACTTTAATGGGAACCAAACGTTTCAAGGTCCAAATGAGAGTTTCAGTGCAAACTGCAAACTGTTCAAAGGGCTTTAAATGATTTCAGACGATGAATAAGGGTCTTATCAAGCGAAATGATTGCTAATTTAAAAAAAAAAAAAAAAGTTTAAGTTTTATAAGCTCAAATGGTCGCCTTGCTCTGTTCTGTGATGCACGTTTGTGACTCTCCTGTTCAGACTCCTTCATCAAAATGAACAAATCTTTTTCCGAGTCAATTAGTTCAGAATGAAGAGCAGCTGTCTTTTGACCTTGAACCGTTTGGTTACCATTAAAGTCCATTATATGGAGAAAAATCCTGGAATGTTTTCATCAAAAACCTTAATTTCTTTTCGACTGAAGAAAAAAATGACATGGACATCTTGGATGACATGGGGGTGAGTAATTTTTTTTTTTTTTTAAGTGAACTACTCCTTTAAATTACAATGAATTGCTAAAGGTTTTAAACGTACATGAAACGTACAGTATTGCAAATACTTTGCTGAAAACTGTTGTGAGCTAAGTACCTCTGTAACTTGTAGTTTTCCTTTTTTAATGAGCCTGTGAATCTTTTTCAAAGCTTTGCTTCTTTTCTTGAACACCCGCACTGCATCAAACCCCACCTGTAAGAATCACAAGAAAACTTTACTAAGCGTTTGAGCACCATAAATCATGTCTTAAACAGTAGTTCATTTTCGAATTTGAGCAAAAAGTTAACTTACCTCATCTTTCAACTTTTCTTTGAAGTAATCAATATTTGCAAAATAAATAGGTGATTTGCACTTGAAAATCTTAATCCCTGGAATTTCATCAATCTGAAAATTTGGGGAAATACCTTGTTATTTTAGAAAACCATAAGCATTGTAGTAAGTAATGATGAAAAATGAGCATTTTACTTTTTTGTAGTCTTTCATGTTTTTGTAGATATCAGTGTTTGGGACATTTCCAAGGCTGGCACAAGAAGGGCTGAATTAAAACGAGAGAAACCAAGGTCTTATTAAGACTTATGTTTCGCAATTTATTTCCATTATGTAATTCCTGTCTAATGTCTATTTCACAGTAATTATTCTCAAAAAATTCTTTCATTTTTGTTAAATATTACAAAACAAGCATTTATATGATGCCCTTGTTGTTCACATAAAATCATAAACATCAAGCTGCCCTAATTCAGATTAACTGTTGTCATATTTCTCAAGAAATATACCAAACCCCCTAAAAGAAACAAAATAAAAATAATTGAATTTGCTTTGTCAAATAAAATGTTAAACCACACTGTAAAAATGAAAATGCCATATCTTAGCAATAAAATTGTGGCAACAGATTACAAGCAAATATTATTGATTAAATTTAACAAATTAGAATTGAGTAATAATTAATCAAATTAATTCCTTAAAAGTTAACCAGTCAAATGATTGTGAAAAAAAATATATGTTAAAAAATAACCAACACCATCAGATAAACTTTTCTATTTGTTCATCTGACTGTTATAACTCCGGTATATCAGCCAAACTAAACAAAAGGGTCAAGAGCCCAACTAAAACAAACATTGATCACCATAATGGTGACTTAAAATTATGGTTTTCTCCTTCAGTGATTCTGCTTGTTAACATCAGGTGTCTTCAATATTGGCAATTTAAAATAATTGTATAAAATATTCGTATATTTAATATTCTAATATAATAATAATATAATATTATAAATTATATAATAATATATTTTAATATATAATATATTATAATATTGAATATAATATTCAATATAAAATATTCTTCATTCATCTTTGACTTCTACCTTTTTATTTAGATCTTTTTTTTATTTTTTTTATGTAAACTTTACTCATTTTAAATGGTTAACTTTTAAGGAATTAATTTGATTAATTATTACTCGGTTCTAAGTTGTTAAATTTAATTAATAATATTGCTTGTAATCTGTTGTCACAATTTTATTGATTAGTGTATTTTATAGCGTATTCATTTTTACTGTGTACACTGGTTGTGGTTGAGGAGAGACCTCTGGTCCTATTTTAAATCTTCTTAAAACTTTACTTACAACTGTGTTCTGACCACCACTGTGGCCATCTCAAACACCAGACCAGCCAGTAGGCCCACATCTAAACCCAGCATGATGGATGCCAGGCAAGTAGCTATCCAGATGAGCTGCAGATGAATGAGGATTCACATGCACTCATTTCAGACACATACAGCTAGTATATGATCTCATTTTATACAAATAAACCAAAAGGATTCACATGATTCACTATTTTGCTGTTTCATTTACAGTGTTGTGTACTTACACAGTCTGTTCTGTTCTGTCTCCAGAGTACAGGCACTTCAGAGATCTGCATGAACATACCCTTCAGATTGGCTATAACAATGGCAGCAAGAACTGACTGCGGGACAGAAAGTGATGAGTTGCGTGATGTATTTTGGCTGTGTTCATTTTTTAATTTTTTGTAGTGAAAGACATGGACGTGTTCTTTTTTCTATTAAAACATTAGGTTCCTCTACCACACCTTCTGCAGAGGCTGAAGAAAGGGCCCAAGGGCCAAGATCACTATCATCACCATCAGAGCTGAGATGATACCAGCAACCTGCAACAATGAGAAGAGAGAACAGTTAAATCTGGGTAGTAGTACACACACACACACAACACATTTTACCTGACTCTTCCCCCCTGTGCTTTCCTGTACGGCAGTCCTTGACAGTGCAGTGCTGGCCACAAAGCTTGATAAACATCCTCCGAAAATGTTGCTGACGCCAAAAGCTATCAGCTCCTAATGGGAATAAAGGTGTAGTAAGCACAATGGCACAAACCATTTTATGGTCACCACTGTATGGTTCGTTGCATTTTATGATGGGCTTTTAGCATTGTGGACCCACTATCCATCAGACAAAAGCATACTTGCAATGTCAGAGACACATTCACACTCTATTTTTGTTTACCTGGTTGCCATCAACTGTGTAATCATGTTTTGCAGCATAGACTTTTGCCACTGAGACTGCAACCGCATAACCAACCACTGCTGTAGAAAAACTAGAGCCCAAAATATTCCCGAGAAGTGCTATATTTGGTGGCTGTGCCGGTGCAAACCTGTGGAGAAACAAGCAGACACATGGTTAGTAGTGACTATAGATTGACACAACGGTTTTGTATTTATGCTGTCATCTCTGACTGATGTAGGTTGGATGTAATAATAACCGTTTATTGTTTACTGTTATTATTGGATAAGGTTTTCAAACTGTCTGCCAGTGTCATTGTTCTGGAGATTACAATTCTGTTGAAAATCTTTACAGGGACAATAATAATAGTAAGTCAATTTAAAGTGACTGAATGTGCACCCAGCCCTCATCAGGAAGCAGGAAGCGCCACAGGAAGTGCTCTTACCCCCTGGGGAGGCTGTGGACAATGCTGGCGCCGAACTGGGACTTCAGGTCCATCACATGAGAGATTGCACAAGCTATCACTGTCTATCAGATCGAAAGAGTGAAAGGTAATGTTAATCATTATTTAAAAATGTTTAAAAAATCATCAAATGTCCAAGAACACAGGCTTAGTTTGCGGTTTAAAGGGATAGTTCACTTTGAAATAAATTTTTGATATGTTTTAGCTCACCTCAAGGGCATCCAAGATGTAGGTGTCTTTGTTTACACAGTAGTTTCAATTTTGATATTTAGGTTAGGTTGAACCGTTCTTGTCTGTCAGTCATATAATGGAGGTCTATGGTCACCACCTCAAAGAGCATGCACAAATTAAACGTGATTTAATGACTCGTAAATGTAAGTACACATTGATGGCCTAAGACACGAAACGAGCGGTTTGTGTGAGAAAACGAACAGTATTTATATCGTTTTTACCTCTTGCCGGCGCTTGTGCAGACAGAAGCGCCCTCGCCCTCAAAGTACTTGGACGTGGCTGTGGTTACAATAGGTAAAAACGATATAAATACTGTTTGTTTTCTCACACAAACCGCTCCGTTTCGTGTCTTAGGCCATCAATATGTACTTACATTTATGAGTCATTAAATCATGTTTAATTTGGACTTCTCTGTGCATGCTCTTTAAGGTGATGACCATAGACCTGCATTATATGACTGACAGACAAGAACGGTTTGACCTAAAAATATCAAAATTGAAAATACAATAATATAATCTAATATAATATCCAATTATAATATAATCTAATATCCAATATATAATATCCAAATATATATAATCTAATATCCAATTATAATATAATTGGATGCCCTTGAGGTAAGCTAAAACATATCAAAAATTAATTTCAAAGTGAACTATCCCTTTAAAGGAACACTCCGACTTTTTGGGACTTTAGCCTATTCACCTTACCCCCCAGAGTTAGATAAGTCCATACATACCTTTTTCATCTCCGTGCGTGCTATAAGTCTGTTTGACGCACCCACCGCTAGCCTAGCTTAGCACAAAGACTGGATGTGAATGGTTGCAGCTTTCATACTAATCCAAATGAGTGGCAAAATAACGCAAACGTTTTCCTATTTACATGTTGTGGTTTGTATAGTCACAGAATGTACAAATATCAAGGCCATATGAGACACAGACATCTTTTAACTGTATAAATACTATATTTTCTGAAGGCGAAGCACTGCTACTTGGGCAGAGTGATAACAATCACCTGAGACGCACCGTGACGAGGAGCAGAGAGTTCGCTCAGTGTTTGAGTAAAGAGTAAAGAGTCAGCAATTATAACGTTAGATAGAAAAGCATAGTTTATCATGGGTGTTTGCTTTATTGTATGAGCTGTGACAAACAGGGGAGACCAGGTAATACAGTACCATGTTTCATTGATTTCCAACCAAAAACGCACCCAGATTTATAAATATCACATGAATAAATAATTATTATTACAGGACTCAATATATTTTAAATGCAATTTATTAGCTGAACCAAATGTATTCAACAGTAGCCTATATAATATACAGTATTGCATTACTATAGGATAGAATAAGGGGAAAGTAATAGCACAAATTGTTTTTGCACAATGAACTCACAGCCTATCGTACCCTTTTGCACGCTCAAGTTCGTTATTTCCATGGTTATTTCGAATTTAGGCTACTAGGCGCGCCGCGCGCAGGGTGCAAGTTCAACGCGGTAAACGCGCTCGTTTTTTTTTTTCCCAAGCGCGTCCGCACCGCATCAAGATAAAAACATATTCATACCCTAATCATATAATAGTCTCACTAACGTTACATTAGCTCTGGCTAAAGGCACTGTTACAGTAGGTCATCTAAAAACATAACGGAACACTTACCTCAGCCGCAGGTGATCCACTTGTCCTGTCTGTGCTATCGATGGGATGGCCGTATCCTTCAGCACATTATGGTCCGTGTGGCAAATTCCATTTTTTCAAAATAGTCGTCCTCATTGAAATGTACCGAGCAAACATAATGTCCCTTGATAATCTTAGGTGTGTTTGGATAAATATCCAGAGTAAGTTAGCCATTTCTTCATCCAGTCAGCGTTTTTAGTTGGAATTCTGTGAAACATGGTATTACCTCCCCTGTTTACAGTCGCAGCTATTTACAATAGAGCGAAAACCCATGACTCTAAACTACGCTTTTACTATTTATAAATTGCTGACTCTATTACCCAAACACCGAGCGAACTCTCCGCTCCTCACCACGGCCGGCGTGTCTCCGGTGATGCGGTTATTACGCCGTCAAAGTAGCAGTGCTTCGCCTTCAGAGAATAGTTCCCAGGTTTTATAAGATGTCTGTGTCTCATTTGACTTTGTTATTTGTACATTATGTGACTATACAAATCACAACATGTAAATAGGAAAACGTTTGCGTTATTTTGCCACTCATTTGGATCATGAAAGCTGCAACCAGTCACATCCAGTCTTTGTGCTAAGCTAGGCTAGCGGTGGGTGCGTCAAACAGACTTATAGCACGCACGGAGATGAAAAAGGTATGTATGGACTTATCTAACTCTGGGGGGTAAGGTGAATAGGCTAAAGTCCCAAAAAGTCGGAGTGTTCCTTTAAGACTTGCATAGGACCATTGTGTGAAAACTGTACATACCACAATCACTTCTATGGGAATCGGCAGTGGGATTTTATGCTGAAATTTTGTGTTGATCTCTTTCACAGCCATAACAATGAAGATTGTTAGTAATCCAGCGATCAGGTCTGCAATGTTTGTTTGGTTGATGTTCCTACCTACATCCATAAGGGTCTAGATGTGGAGAATTTTTTTTTTTTAAATACAATATAATAATAAAATATTTTTTTATTTATAATTAATATTTATTATTATATAACTAATATAATTATATATTTTTTACGGAAACTTTCTTTAAATTGTGGAAATAAAACATATGTTTAAGCAAAAATTCACTAGTAAAATTTAATATAAAAAACTAAAAACTAAAATTCATATATATATATGTAAATTCTTTAAGTTGAGATAGGTGTGTTTGTGATATTAATAAGATATTGTAAAAAAGATATTGTAAAAAAGTAAGAGGCTCACATAAGCAATGGAGAAGAATCCATTATGGTTGTGTGTGGGAACAGACAGGATGGTTTTAATCTGAGATATAAAGACATGAAAGGCAGCAGCAGTGGTGAAGCCGCCTACCAGTGGGTCTGAGAGATACCTGACTAGAAAGCCCACCTGCATCAGCCCCATAGCCACCTGAGAATAAATAATATTGCTTCTGTCTGATGCTTAAGAATACATTTATACAAAAGTGCAGACATAGCTGTAAGATAAAAACCCTTCCTGCCTCCAGTATGCAAATATACAAATGAAATATTACAATAATGAAATGTGTAAATTGTTTATTTTAGCTGTATCACATTTTTTTTTTTAATTTTGAATGTTGTGAGTTTACCTGGAATAATCCAACCAGCATTGTCATAGTACAAGCCACCATGATTCTCTGGGCCTCTCTGGCCTCTACATCCACCTCCATTAATCTTTCATCTGTCTCTGTCTCATTCATAGCTGTTATGTTCACTGAACGCAAAAAGTGCTCATCGGGCGCTAAAGTCAAAACTACAGAGCCCACCATCAGACAGGTGACAGGGAATGGACCTAAATGGCGTATAGATGCAAATAAGAGAATGACAAGAAAACGTTGCATACTATACTACTCTAACTATTTATTCAGTATACTCAGATTCTATGTACAAAAAACATGCTTACTATATTTATATAGAATACTGTACCAAACTTGAGCTTCCATTATAAATTAACCCAAATTAATTTTATATATATATATATATATATATATATGTTTTCTTGAATCAATATTGAATTGAATTTCTAACAATTAATATAAAAAAAAAAATTACATGATGCTAACTGCATGCCATTTTTACAGAATAAAACATGCAATTTATCAAGATCACATAGTGTGACTGTTTTGCATTAAATGGTAAGTAAATGCAGTAAGATTTTATTAAGACTTAATAAAGACATAGACCTACCCACAGAGATGTGTCTGGATGTTCCCAGCACAAAGTATGTGAGAATTGGAAAAAACGCAGAATAGAGTCCATAGACTGGTGCTACAGAGGCCAGCAATGCATAAGCCACTCCTGTTCAACAATAGAAAGCAATGACATCTTTAAAGTAGCATCATTGCAGCATTAAGTTAATACAGTGTTTTGTTCAGTGTGAGTCTTACCTTGTAAACAGCATACTAGACCTGTGGTCACTCCAGAGACAACGTCACTGGGTAACCACTGCTTGACTGGGTATTTAGGAAGCCAATCTACAATTGGCAGAAGCCCCTTTATCTTCTGAACAGCCCATTTATCAGGGCACCTGTGGAAAATTCAATTAATATCACAATGCAGGTGAAAACACTACATGTGAGTTACTGACCTGCAGGTTTTGCTCAGCCGCTCTCGTAAACTCTGGATCTCTTGGTCTCGTCTCTCATGGACCTGGTCAAAGACGCGGTTTGAGTAGATACGGCGTGACACGAGGTAATCTTTTTCATGAAAACACTCATCCATCATATTGCCTGATTGTTTATCATCTGTTAGAGAAAAAAGCAGATTTATTAGATTTCAGATTCATTTGGATTTGCTGTTTGCTGAGGGTTGTGCATAAATTAGTTTGTTTTTCTACCTACCGTCACTTGTTCATTTTATTTATTTCTTTTTCTAGGATGGCTATTCCAGATAAGCAAACACATAGAGGATCTCGTCTCTCCTGCGTCAAAACAATCTGATCGAACAGACCAAAAGAGCCCTTCTCCCTTTCTCTGGCAGTATTGCTGTGTTCAGTAGACCAGCTCTTCCAGGTCTGCACTAAGATCACTGCACCCATTGACATTAGAAACCTTTCCAGAAATTGGGGAGGGATCCAATCTCCCACTCTGAATGAGGAGGTTTGTGTCCACCAGTCTTTCCCTCACATGTGAGAACCGTAAGTACGAATACAATGGAAAACCTTATCTTGAAGCCACTTTTTCTTAATCAGGTCCACTATAATATCATTATCAAACAGAATTGATGGTAAATGAAACCACACATTTATGTTAAGAGTATCTAAATAAACTAATTTCTTGTCTGTTGTTTATACCGAAATTGTATAAGTTGATTACGAAGTCTTACCTGTCTTTTGAGTTAACGTCAAATTGAAATCCCACAGTCAAGAAAGGGTGCATCTACTGTATGCCAGACGTCCACTTAAACACATTGTCCGTGTCTATGAAGTCGGACTCTCTTAATGGGAGCAGCATTCACTTTTTTTGTATTTATAAGCAAAGTTGGGATGTGGGAGGTGTATCAGGGTTAAGCACCAAGAGGAAGCAAAAGGGAATTACATCAGCATGCATCCTGTCAAGGTTGACTGTCTCTCCCAATCTTGTGTGTCGGTAGTAAATGAGTGTGTATTTGTGATAGAATCGGGGTGAGAGGGGGTCTGATGTGTCAAAGGTGGGCTGGTTCTGTGTGGCGGGGAGGGGAGGGTGTACATATGTACATTTCGACCAGTGCAGGTGTGATTGAACACTCAAGAGAGAACAATATGATCTACGCACGACTCGATCTGACCTTCTTAGCCTTCTTTAGTACAGAATGTCTAGATATGATATCAGAATGCCGGATCTCTCCTCAGAACATGAGCCAGCTCTTTAATACATTGTGTCTGACAATCTGTCAGTCAGCTAGACATGAGTCAGGTTGATACTTTGTCTTAAAAGTGTTGGTTAGTGAGGACGATTTTAAGCATCAAGCTCTTTTCATATAGGCATAGTACTTTTGTGGTGTCTTACCCTTGTGACATAATGATGATGTCAACAATTTTTTTTCAAATGTTAACTTTAAATAAAATAAATAAAATAGAAATAAATGGAGACAATTTAAAAGCATAAATGTGAACCTTATAATTTTATGAAAGCACTTTTATTAAATCATATAAATTTTATTTGTGCTGTAAAGATGTTTTAAATTATTTTTACAGTCGTTTTATGGTTTTATTGTTTACAGCATTGTGTTGGATGTAACTACAGTGAAAAGTCTGATTTATTTGTATATTTATCTATTGTGTTTTTTTTTTTTTTTACCATACTAAAATCATTTTATCATGCATATTCTTTACAGTCATTTTGTAGCTTTACTTTTGGAAGCCTCATATAACCCTCATATAGCCTCACTATAACCCAGATTTGAGCCTTTTTAAAGAAAATGAGGAACTGAAAATTAATTTTGTGGTAGCCAACATTATGCCTCAAATTAGCCTGTCCAAAAATCGCCTAATTTGTACTGAACCCTTAATATTCCTTTAATGTGACTTGCTTGCTTCTTCTATATACTGTAGGTTGCATATCATGCATTTGGCATGCATGATAAAATGAAGTTGTATTTGACATCACCTGATGTCTGTACTTGAGACTTTGAAGAAGTTTCTGAATTATAATTTGACATTTTATTCTCGCATGTGTTGTACATGTTGATTTTGCCGTTTTCTCTTATACTGCAAGATCATAGACTTGAAGAAGAAACATATGCACTTATAACTGATGTTATTTATAAATTAATGCTTAACACATTCCCTCTAGTGGTCTTTTAATGTATCTTTTTCTCTCTCTTTATAATGCTAGATGAGTCAAGAAAAATATCTGAATATTTATAGAATACGATGAATGAGACGATATTGCAGAGTAAGCTACACTATTTAAGAACTCCCTGTACTATCAAAGTAGCTTTATAAGGCTGAACAAACCTGCAGTACTAAAAGATTCACTCCTACCTGGGCTGCATGAGTGAACCTTGACCAGAGAAACAAGTGCATCCACTCACTCCTTTCACACCCACAGAACACTGTAACTTCACATAAGTTAACCCACTCAAATGTCCTATATGCATGCAGTGGTGGGGATTTTAACTTTTGAATCTGTTGACAAATAAAGAAAATTACTTTGTCACGATTTTATTCTCCAAGAAAAATCAACAGTTTACAGTACGTTAGTCAATTCGTCACACGTGTATCATTGAATCATTCACTCAATTGATTCAGTTGAACAATAGGCTACTGAGTCGGTCATAATTTGCGTCTACAAATTTACTGAGATTTCGCAATTCGCAGTGTGTAGGCTAAGCGTCATTTTACTAGGCCTACAGATGACAAGCAGATGTTATATTTTATTTCTTCTCTTTACTGTGATTTTACATTATAGAAATGGCAGCCAAAAAATTCATAGTTAGCTTTTAACCAGATTAATCACAATTCTTGTTCTCCCTTTCTCTCCTGGTTGTGAACTAGATTGATTGACATGGCAAACTGAACGATGCAGGAATAATGACTGATTTCGAATCAGTCATTATTCCAGCATCGTTCATTTTGCCATCAGGTTTCGAATCAGTGATTCATTATTTTCGTTCCAATAAGATTTTCCTGTTCGTTCTTCCACTAAACCGTTTATTCGGTACTGTTAGCCTTCCTTTACAACCCACACTGACTCTAATCGTTGGCTATTTACGTCTTTGAAGGCAGGGAAGTCTCGGAGAACGAATAATAGATACGACTCTGTGACTTGTTCATCAAAAAATTGATTCAAACCAAAACACCACATGCACCATTGTTGTTGTTGTTGTTGTTTATAGTTTTACACCGTTCTAACGCAGTGTAGGCAACACATCTCAAACAAGCTTCCTAAACTGTTGCGCTTATTGCTGTTGTAATTTGTTGCCTTTAAGCTACTTAAGAATTTTGAGGTTTTGTTTATTGTGGCTCAGTTGCACTAGCATTTTGCTGGCGGTAGACTGCAGTTTTTTAAGCATAGTGACTGTCCCTCCCAGCTGGTGCATTTTACAACTCAGGTTGTGTGTTAAAATCTAACGAGCGTCCTATCTAGACAGCATTCAAGGCATCATAGACGCGTTTCTAATCCTCCTCATAATGTAGCGGTAGGGCACGCGCCTGTGTTGCCCACAACGCTGCCTAGGTAGGCAGCTCACAAGGTTTTTTAACTACAGCCTATGTCTCAGTTCCGCAATTTAAAGCGGTATCTGTCTCAGAATGTGAGCAGGATGTGTCATTACTGGCGTTATGGATCTACAAAGCGAGCTGCTGAAGTCCATCTGGTACGCGTTCACGTCTCTGGATGTAGAGCAGAGCGGAAAAGTGTCCAAGTCGCAACTAAAGGTCAGACCACCTGTGTATACCTTTAACTTGTCTCGTGTTTCAATGTGTTGTTTGCTTTAACTCTATACACGTAAAATGGCTACACTGTAAATGTTTTCAACATCTGTGGTGGTAGTTAATTTATTAAGAGCTAACTTGCATGAAAAGGGAACAGCAGTCCAAATAAGTCATGCCATATTGTCCATCTCTCTCTCACTCACACACACGTACCGTTTTTATTTTTTAACAAATATTAATGTCCCCAAAAAGAGGTTTTGACAGGTTTAGCTCACTTTTGGGTACAACTACTCCCTCAAAATATGGGTATAGGTGCATAAAACACCCTCATGCATTAATAAATTATATCAGATTGTCTTATAGCTTTTTTTATTTGTATTATATTTGATTTATTTTTATGGATATTGATGGGGGAATTTAATGGCATCACTGGTCTGTGAGCATGAAAATAAATACCAAAGGACGCAGTCAGCATGCAGACAGCTTTGACAGTCTTTCTCGTGTTTAAACATGTCCTGGGTCCACCCTTTGCTTAAAATCTCAGCATAATTTTACAGACATGTTAGAACTTGGTCTTGGACTGAGAGCATTTTCTGCAAATTTGCTCTTCTTGTGTGTAAAACTGTTATTGTGTGTTATATAAAGGTGAGTTGGAGATGCTGATTGTATGTCATATCAGAACAAGGTCCCATGATCATGTCAATAACTTTTATATCCAACTCATTTCACAGCTGAAGAGTGACTAAGAAGTGCATTTACAAAGAACTGACTTCACTTTTATGTCATTTTTGCAATTACTTCTACCCAACTAGTTTCTAGGTTATTTGGGGCATACTGTTATGAAGTCAGTTCCCTTCAAGATCACATATGCTATAATTAACATTGAATGTTTTCAACTATTGGTTAACCAGAAAGTGTTCAAATGTCTTATTTTAAAAAAGTATTATTATAAATGTATAAATCATACTTTGTTTTAAAGGTAACACTTTACAATAAGGTTCATTAGTTAACATTAGTTAACTACATTAGTTAACATGTACTAAGAATGAACAGTACTTCTTCAGCATTTATTAATCTTAGTTAATATTAATTCCAACATTTACTAATACGTTATTAAAATCAAAGGTTGTATTAGTTAACATTAGTTAATGCACTGTGAACTAACATGAACACACAATGAACAGCTGTATTTATATTAACTAACATTAACAAAGATTAGCAAACACTGTAACTAACGCATTGCTCATCGTTAGTTCATGTTAGTTAATGCATTTACTAATGTTAACTAATGAACCTTATTGTAAAGTGTTACCGTTTTAAAAATGTGAAAAATGCAGGTTTATGTGAGAGGGTTAGGGGTTAGAAAATATAATTAGCTCAGTATAAAACCATTAAGAGTCTATAATGATATAAAAACAAGTGTGTGTGTGTGTGTTTCTCCACCAGGTTCTCTCACACAATCTCTATACGGCGCTGAATATTCCTCATGACCCTGTGGCATTAGAGGAGCACTTTAAGGACAATAACAATGGGCCGGTGTCCAACCAGGGCTACATGCCCTACCTCAACAAATACATCCTGGCAAAGGTCTGAGAACTCTCCAGAATTCCAAAAAATCTAAATTCTTGCATCATTTCCCTTGTAAAAAAAAGAAGTACACTTTAGCATACTTTTAGTTCAAAGTTTGTTTTTATTGATTTTTACCCCTCACCATCCAATATGGTGAATGACGCCCATATTAGCCATTGATACAAAGTGGAATTGCAAGAACAGAACATACATAAAATACTTACAAACATAAACCTTTAACCAAATAATGATAATAAAATTGAAACTAAATAATAAAAAAAAAAACACTTTAGCATACTTTTAAAAAGGTATTGCTGAAATAATCTATACAAATGATTGAATGCTATTTACAATAAACTGAAAATCTATTTTATTACATTTACATTAAATGCAATTAGTTGAATGTTGGAATGCTTTTTGACCCAATGTAGAGTTTTAGAACATTTTTAAATGTAATTTCATAATTTTGTTGACTTGTAAATATGGTTAAAATACTGTATACTGTTGTTGAGTGTACTGACAAGCATTTATGTTAAACTAAAAAATGATATATTTAAATAGGAATGTATTATTTAATATGTATTTAAATAGATTTGTAATTACACATTTGTAATGATGAAGTTGCAATTTAGCACATTTAAAATATATGTACTCAAATACAGTTAAAATTATAACCAAGTACTTCACATATACAGTACTTTAACATAAAAAATTAGTGTACTTTAAAGAAAAATGAAGAACAACTTCATTCATTTGACATTATTAGTTTGTGTTAAGCAGCATAGTACACTTAAGTGGCCTTTTATTTCATTAACATTATATCTGCACATACTTTTAATATTTAAAGAACACTACAAGTGCACATTCAGTCCAATTCTTCTCATGTTATTTCACATTCATATGACACTCTTTCTGCCATGAAACAAACGGAGAACGTTTAAAGTGTTCAAAAGCCCCTTAAAGTGCAGTACGTTCTGTAATATTTCTGCATTTGTGTTCCACGTGGTTTGAAATGATATGCTACTAAGTAAATAACAACAGAATTTTATATTAAAGGCAAACTATATCTTTAAGAAAAGAGAAATGCTTATTGCGATTTAATTTAATTGCACACCAAGCAATGTCTGTTGGCGAACAGTGTCATGTAAAGTTTTCTGTGTGCATTTACAGGCCACAGAGGGGACGTTTAATAAGGAAACCTTTGATGAGCTGTGCTGGACATTGACATCGAAGAAGAACTTCAAGCCCAGCACTCAGCAGCGCCTGTGTTCACAGAAAGACTGCTTCAAACTCTTCTGTCTGTTCAACCTGCTCTCAGAAGACCGTTACCCATTAGTCATCATTCAACCGGAGGTGAGAGAGAAAACAAGAAAGAGGGTCAGATAGAGAGAGATAAGACAAGGCGTAGCTGCAAATCACCATGCACACATATAACCAGACTCTCGCTGATATTGAATATAATTGTTTATAAATGTTATTTCCTGTTCAGCAAAATAATACAGAGACCTCCGAACAGACGTACACATTTAGAGGCTGGATGTTTTACAGAATATGTTGAAATGCCACCGCCTAATGCTGGTTAGACTTTGTCCACACTAATAAAATGCCTTGTCTTATGTTTGTGAATAGCAGCAGTTTATGATGCTTAAAATAAGACTCGAGAATCCACAGTTTATTATTCAGATAGTGTCTAAGTGGTGTAAAGCTACGCTATGGTGTCGCTTTTTCCTATGCATCTGTTTTAAGGAAGGAAGTGACACGAGGATTAAAACTTCATATAGATGTGATGGTTTCCTGGTGATAACACTAGTCTATAAAGTAGATTTTTTATCAAGAAACCAAATTTGAGGATATGTCATCACTTTCATTTCTTGCTGTTTTTTGTCATATGCATTTGTGTTCTCTCTTCTCGAACCCATCATTTGGTTTTCTTCAACATAGAGCTAGCATGGTTTGTTTGAAACCCTTTGAAAATATGTTTTATGATCCTAAGGGTGAGTCTCATGAAACCAAACAAGATGGTCATATTTCTACGCAAATTCAACAGAATAAAAGAAAATCATTTTCTTTAATATGAAACCTTACATTATATATATATATATTATATATTTTATTATGTTTATATTAATAATTTAATTAAAATAATAGTAAAAGTAATGGCACTATTATGCTTTTACGAATATTCCCTTTCATGCAGTGTGTAATGTAGCTGTCTGTAAATGTAAACGTTCTGTAAAGTTGATAAGCCGAAAGTATACGATAAATAAAGTGATTGTCAATTGGCTATATGTATATTTTGAGAAAATGAAAGTGTTTTTGAACGTTTGTGCATGTAAACCTGTTGTGGGAAACTCCAAAACAAAATTAGGTTTTATTTTCTTTATCCAGATATGTAATATATGTGACCGTACATGTTTTTTTTGTGAGATTCATCCATGTCTTTAAGAGCTCATCTGTAGCTGATGCTAACGTGTGAACTCTGTTAATGCCTTTGTCAATTTAGTTGGAGTACCTGCTGAAGAAAATCTCCAGTGCAATGAGTCTGGATTGGGATGGGACGTTATTGGAGGAACTTTTGTCCCAGAATGTTGATCTTCAGGACGGCATGTCAGTGTGGGAGTTCTTGGAACATTTGAGTGCAGGCCAGCTTTTGCATGTTGAGTGTAAGGAAGCCTTTAGTCTCGCTGTGGACGAAGTTTTCATGGAGATGTACCACAACACCATCAAGAAGGTGACTGATGCTTTGCATGCAGCACGCTAGGTTGATGTAGTATTATGAAGTGGAATCTAATAATGGGAATCTTAGTAAATCAATTAGGGCTGTCAAACGATTAATTGCGATTAATCGCATCCAAAAAGTTTGTGTTTACAAAATATATGTGGGTGCACTGTGTATAATTATTTTGTATATGTATAAATACACACACATGCGTGTATATTTAAGAAAAAAATATTATTTATATCAAATATTTATATATAATATACATTTATATATAAATCTATGTACATGAAAATATTTTTTAAATATATACAAGCATGTGTGTGTATTTATATATATAATATAATTATACACAGTGCACCCACATATATCATGTAAACACAAACTTTTATTTTGGATGTGATTAATCGTTTGACAGCACTTAAATTAATGCAATCATTTAAACAAACATCTGCAACTACTGATTGTGTCTGATTCTGAACACTGCATCATGGTCCTTTACTTCCTGCATTGTGTAACAGATGGCGCAACTATTTACAATAATCTTAAGTCTTTTAGTCACATTCTATCTTTTTCCTATTCACTTTATCCATCAGGGTTACTTGTTAAAGAAGGGGCACGTTCGCAGGAACTGGCAGGAGCGCTGGTTTGTTTTAAAGCCCAGTAGCCTGACGTACTTTGTCAACGAGGACCTGAAGGAGAAGAAAGGAGAGATCCTGCTGGAGGACAACTGTGTGGTGGAGGTAAATTAGCAAGTGTATTCCACTGTAAAATAAAGGTATCATAACTTTCTCATGTCTCTTTCACACTCAGAATCTCCCTGATAAAGAAGGGCGACGCTGCCTGTTCTGTGTGAAGACCTACATCAGGACCTATGAGATGAGTGCTTCAAACCTGAAACAGAGAGTAGACTGGGTACAAGGTGAGGACCCATATTCAGCACCGCTGCTTTCTTGTCGAAGTGTCCTGGTTCCTTGAGGCATGATGTCCCGTGTTTTGTAGCCATCCAGACAGCGTTGAGATTGAGGGCCGAGGGTAAGAGCTCTCTACATCAGGAGCTAAAATTGAGCAGACGCAAGCAGAGAGAAACCCTTCAGAGAAGCCAGAGCAACCAGAGTAACAACAGTGAACCCTTAGCAGATGAGGTTTCGCAGGACTCCGCTTCGGAGCAGCAGGAGGAAACGGAGAGATTGGAGCAACACATCGAGAGCATCATTCAAGTAACTGATTTAATGCTATCAGATTACTCATCTGCAGTTTATCTGCACTGTGTGAACCACAACCATTATTTTATTGATGGTAATTTATTTAATATATTAAATTATAATACGGTTAGTTCAAATCCTTGATTCTGATTGGTCAAAGGCTATGACCGCTTCACCCAACGGCTCTATTTATCACTGCGCAACACTGCAGTTCCTATGTTGTTGTTTTATTTGAGCTTTCATGCATATTACACATTGGATCGTTGTTGCTGTTCACGGTCAGGGACTATTTTTTTCTAGCGGAAGGAAGGCTTTTAGTGATTTTACTTCATGAAAGTTGCACTAATACATATTTTATTTACTTTAATATTTTTATTGTGTGGTAACCATTTTATAAAAGTAATAAGGTACTCGAGGCAAGTGCTGTATCGTGAATAAGTAACGGCTGAAGGGGTTACTCTGCTTTGCGTCGTGCCTAACAACTTATTTATTCACGATACGGCACTTGCCTCGAGTACCTTATTGCTTACGTAAATCACCACTTTAAATAATCAATATATCCGTATACAATTTTGAAAACAAGCAGCTTTGTCATAATTGCATCAGAAATACCGAAAATATCTTGTATGTGTATGTGGAGGAAAGTGGGGCCTCCGAATATTGTGTTGGTCGAAACCATTTTCGAAACCATTCAACCGATTTTCTGATATTTAGAGGAATATCAGTAACCAGACAGTTTCTGGTCTCATTGACTTCCATAGTAGGAAAAAAACATACTATGGAAGTCAATGAGACCAGAAACTGTTTGTTTACTGATATTACTCTAAATTTCTGAAAATCGGCTGAATGGATTCGAAAATGGTAAAATTCAACTGTTGTAAAATGAGCCTATTTCCAAAAAAAGTGGAGTATCCCTTTAAAAATGCCACGTGATGATCAAAAACCATAACCTTGCATGTTCTGTTTCACATACTATTTAAAAAAAAAAAAAAATAGTTGGTTGTGTACAATGTGTACTGTGTAGTATTGAGTAAGTAGTAAACATAGCCTGTTACTTGCCTTAAAAATAGTTTGTTTGTTCCCCAGAAACAGAGGGAGGTAGAGGCAAAACATAAAGAGGAAGAGAAGCAGGAGCGAGAGAGACAGCAGACAGTACAGAGAGATCTGGAGAGACAGCTCGAAGAAACTAAAGAGGTGAGATAAAGAGAAAAAAAAATTGTTTTTTTTTCATCCGGTTTTGTTAATGTGTTGTCACACAAGATCTAACACATTCATGCACTTGTATAACTGACAAATCCACATTTTAAGCATCAATACTCCAGTCTCCTGTGTCACATGAAAAAATCATCATAGAAATAGTCCTTTAGAAATTATTCTAATATGCTGATTGGCTTCTCAAGAAACATTTCTTATTGTTATCAATGTTGAAAACAGTTGTGCTGCTTAATATTTCTGTGGGATGTTTTTTCAGGATTATATATCATAAATATGTATTTATTTGAGTTAGCAATCTTTTGTAACATTACACATTTTTTTTTTACTGTTCACTTTTCATTAATTTAATACATCCTCGTTAAGTAATTTACTAAGCCCAAATCAGTCATCAAGATGCAACAACATTATAATGTTAGAAACAGTGGTGAAGTTGATGGTGTTGGTGCTTGCGTAGGCCAAGGAGAGGATGACAACTACATTGACTGAGATGGAGAAAGAAGTACAGCAGCAGAAGAAGAGGATCCATGAATTAGAGCTCACACAACTTAAACTGGAGGAGGCGCTCAACGCTCAGATTCACGCCCGTTTAGAAGAAGACCAAGTCCGACTGGAACTAGAGAGGTATCGTAAATCTCAAGTTATATCATTGTATTCACACCATCCCCAACAAATGTGGAGACTGTTGTATTAGGACAAGAAACACACTCTTAATTGTGTTCATGTATACCTGCAGGCAGCTTGCAGAGGAGCAGAACGCCCGTTTAGAAGAGGATCGAGTCCGACGGGAACTAGAGAGGTACCGCAAATCTCAAATTATTTCTTTTTATTCACATTTCACACCATCGCCAACATATATGGACACTGTGTATTAGGACCAAAAATACATTAATTTAAGTGTTTTTATTTATACCTGTAGGCAACTTGCGGAGGAACAGAAGAAACTTGCAGAACTTCTCCTCCTCCAAAGTCATCTGGAAACTCTTGCTTTTAAGACTGAGGATGATTCCCCTATCGCAACACGTCCCATCACTCAGCAACCAGAGGAGAGCAGTCAACACAGCACAAAGGTGAGAGAAAGGCACAATGGGAGTTGGTGTTTACTATCTTTAGATAGTAAAGGGACAGTGTATTTTGTAGGGTCGATGAAAATAATTTTGTAGCGTTTTATATTTTGTTCCATTTATAGAGAAAGACAAGAGTTGATCCAAATTGACACACTATATGACACATGATGACTAATGACATCCCAGATGACACACTAAACACATAAACACTATGTACTCATGTAACCATGTAGTGTATGCATTTTATAAGGTTATTTTGTCATTCACTGTCAGAGTCTGATGATGCCCCTCTGTGATAAGTGCATGAAGTGTCCAAGTTCTGTTATTTAAGTGCATTATTCAGGTATTTAAAGTGCAAAGTTTGCAGTTAATATTTTTTTAAGTACTCTCAAGCTCACCAAAGCTGCAATTAATTAATCAATAATACAGGGAGAATTGTAATATTGTGAACTATAACAATTTCATAGCCATTTTACTCAAGTCTTTAGTGTCACATGATCCTTCAGAATTGATTCTAATATTCTAATTTGATGATTTCAGAAACATTTATTATTATTATTATCAATATTATATTAGTATTATTTCTGTGGAAAACATAATAAAAATAATTCAGGATTCTTTGATGATTGGAAAAGTTAAAGGAACACTCCGACTTTTTGGGACTTTAGCCTATTCACAGTTAGATAAGTCCATACATACCTTTTTCATCTCCGTGCGTGCTATAAGTCTGTTTGACGCACCCACCGCTAGCCTAGCTTAGCACAAAGACTGGATGTGACTGGTTGCAGCTTTCATACTAATCCAAATGAGTGGCAAAATAACGCAAACGTTTTCCTATTTACATGTTGTGATTTGTATAGTCACATAATGTACAAATAACAAAGTCAAATGAGACACAGACATCTTTTAACCGTATAAAACCTGGGAACTATTCTCTGAAGGCGAAGCACTGCTACTTTGGCGGAGTGATAACCGCATCACCGGAGACACGCCGTGGTGAGGAGCGGAGAGTTCGCTCAGTGTTTGGGTAATAGAGTCAGTAATTTATAAATAGTAAAAGCGTAGTTTAGAGTCATGGGTTTTCGCTCTATTGTAAATAGCTGCGACTGTAAACAGGGGAGGTAACCATGTTTCACAGAATTCCAACTAAAAACGCTGACTGGATGAAGAAATGGCTAACTTACTCTGGATATTTATCCAAACACACCAAAGATTATCAAGGGACATTATGTTTGCTCGGTACATTTCAATGAGGACGACTATTTTGAAAAAATGGAATTTGCCACACGGACCATAATGTGCTGAAGGATACGGCCATCCCATCGATAGCACAGACAGGACAAGTGGATCACCTGCGGCTGAGGTAAGTGTTCCGTTATGTTTTTAGATGACCTGCTGTAACAGTGCCATTATTAGCCAGATCTAATGTAACGTTAGTGACACTATTATATGATTAGGGTATGAATATGTTTTTATCTTGATGCGGTGCGGACGCGCTTGGAAAAAAACGAGCGCGTTAAACTTGCACCCTGCGCGCGGCGCGCCTAGTAGCCTAAATTTGAAATAACCATGGAAATAACGAACTTGAGCGTGCAAAAGGGTACGATAGGCTGTGAGTTCATTGTGCAAAAACAATTTGTGCTATTACTTTCCCCTTATTCTATCCTATAGTAATGCAGTACTGTATATTATATAGGCTACTGTTGAATACATTTGGTTCAGCTAATAAATTGCATTTAAAATATATTGATTCCTGTAATAATAATTATTTATTCATGTGATATTTATAAATCTGGGTGCGTTTTTGGTTGGAAATCAATGAAACATGGTACTGTATTACCTGGTCTCCCCTGTTTATTGTCACAGCTCATACAATAAAGCAAACACCCATGATAAACTATGCTTTTCTATCTAACGTTAGTAATTGCTGACTCTTTATTCCAACGCTGAGCGAAGCGAACTCTCTGCTCCTCGTCACGGTGCGTCTCAGGTGATTGTTATCACTCTGCCCAAGTAGCAGTGCTTCGCCTTCAGAAAATATAGTATTTATACGGTTAAAAGATGTCTGGCCTTGATATTTGCACACTCTGTGACTATACAAACCACAACATGTAAATAGGAAAACGTTTGCGTTATTTTGTCACTCATTTGGATCAGTATGAAAGCTGCAACCATTCACATCCAGTCTTTGTGCTAAGCTAGGCTAGCGGTGGGTGCGTCAAACAGACTTATAGCACGCACGGAGATGAAAAAGGTATGTATGGACTTATCTAACTCTGGGGGGTAAGGTGAATAGGCTAAAGTCCCAAAAAGTCGGAGTGTTCCTTTAAGTTAATCCATAGTAGTAAAGTAATAAATAAGTTTCCTTGCTGAATAAAAGTGAAAAACCTTACTCTAAACTTTTGAATAGTAATGCACGTCACACCAAGTTGAAATATACAGAATTGTCAATAAGATTTTGAGTAACAATTGACTTTTTGTTGTATTCTTTCTTTAAACAAGGTGTTTTGCTACTGTTTTTTTGTGTGTGTGTGTGTGTGTGTGTGTGTGTGTGTGTGTGTGTGAATGCCTTTTTATGATTGGCTAAAGTCCATGTGCCTATATAGTTCACACAGTATTTCAGATCAGGGCAGGTCTGTATGAGCTTAACATAAAAGCAAATAGCTTTTTATGATTTAACGCAAGGATTGCTTCGCCCATCATCCGATTACAACTTGTTTTAGTAGTTATAACAAATGGCTTTTATTGTATAAAAGGAGGCACCTATCCATGAATCGACTTCCACTGCCGTGCCACCCATCATCCAGCAACCACAGGAGAGCAGTCAACACAACACAGAGGTGAGATTAGAAAAGTGTGGGACTAACTAAAAAGGGTTTGAATGACACCTCAAATCATGTGCTATTACTTTAAGTGTTCAGACTTTCGAACATTTTCTATACAGAGAGAATTGATGAGTCAGTCTACTTCCACTCAACTGATGAAACACTGGACAATTCAGCTCAACCGCCTCATGAAGCCCATCGCACCAGGAGGTAACACACAATCTCACTCAAATATTTCTATGACCCCACCCAAAGACCCGAAGATGCGTTCTTTTTGATCATATCTGCACGATCATAAATGGCTTTTACAATCAATGTTCTCTATTCCTCTGCTTATTCACAGACAAAGGCGAGCATCTGCCAGTAAAGCCCACCTGTCCCAGACAGGGCCAGGCCCTCACTAGCTCAGAGTTCATTGCTAAGGTTCAAACAGGCGTCGGTCAAGAAAAAGGAAATGGTTACAACCCAGCACCACCTGAAGAAGAGGAAGAGAAGGGTTCCTAAATTTGTGTTCCTACTGTATATGTACTGTATAATATTGTACGTTTTGTGCAGCAGGCTTGCCCTGTGTGTTTGAGTTTGGCTCAAAAGCACCTCACAGATCATATATGTACATACTGATCAGCTTGTTCATTATGTATTAAGTAATATGCACAAAATGAATGGTAAATATACCATTCATATTTTAATATAAGCGTTAAAATCAGCATTTTTGACTGTCCCATTTCAAGGCTCACCATTGGTAAAGTATTTGATGCCCCCCCCCCATAAACTATATTAATAGTAAAGTTACAGAAGTTTAAACATTCAATAACTGAATGTTCTTTAGTATTTACAATCAATTTAGAGGGTATTTATGGTTAATAAAAAAGAAGTAAAGTATTAAAGTATATGAACACAATCATTTCAGAATGAATATATATATATTAATTCTGAAAAGATTGTGTTCATCCCTCATACTGAATTTCCAATACTGTGAAAATCCTGGTTTATAAATAAAAATGGGGGAACAAATTAAACTGCGAAATATTATGTCAGCTTATATCTTAGTTATTTTAGCTCATTTTAATGCTTGTTTTGTCTCGTTTTAAATTACATTGAGAAGTACATTTGTCACAATGTGTAGTTCGTTGTGTGGTCAGTAGAGGGGGAGCTTGTTCTATGGCTGTCAACAAACCAAACCAATCAATAGATTTTTTTTTTTTCCTCTTTATCCCGCTCATACCTTACGGATCAGAGGTCAGGATCCAAAAAGTCGGAGAAGCCAATTTTATTTTGTAAATCATGTTTTTAAAATGGACTGACCATGTCTAAACAATTAGGACACCACCTTTTTGCTTAAAAGCGAAAAGAATCATGCAGTCTATTTATAGATCCGTGGAGGCCAGAAAGAAAGTACAGTTGAGTTTGTGGCTTTGAGGCTTCTGTTGAGAATGAATAATGGTTCTCTCTGTTAGTTTTGGGTGGTCATCAACAGACTGACTGTAAATGATATTTTTGAAAAGTTGTGGCCGTGATTTTTCCAGATACAGATCTTTTCCCCTTTTGGTTTGGAGGGTTTCTACCTGTGGGTGTAGAGATTTGAGGTTGTGATGAAAGGAATTGTCAGGTCCAGAGATCAGGAAAAATAAATGCAATACTCAAGTCTTTGTTTCACTACTTTTGTAATAGTTGGATGTATCCGTCTGCCATTTAACAATTTAATCCGCATATATAATGTTTATCTCATTAAGCTCTTTTTGCCTAATTTTAAAGGAAGTTCACTGAAAAGTAACTAGCCTTTGTTGAAGCAATATATATATATATATATATTGTATTGTGATATACTGTTTTGATCAAAATTATTCAGCCCTCTTCAGGTTTATTGGCAAAATTTGAAAATGAAATCAAACAAAAGTAATTGAAATAGCTCAACACAACAAATGTGTCAAGTGGTTTCCCCAAATTCAACTGAAAATGCAACTTTTAAAATGATTCAACCCTTTCATGGCAAGCAACTTTAGTATTTAGTAGAACACCATTTTGCTGTAAGGACCTGCTGCAAACTATATGTATAACCAGACACCAGATTCTGGCAGCACTTCTGAGGAATCTAGCGCATTCGTCATGAGCAATGGCCTCCAGTTCAGTAGTATTCTTGGGTTTGTGTGCTGCAACCGCTTCCTTCAAATCCCACCAGAGGTTTTCTATGGGGTTCAAGTCAGGTGACTGTGATGGCCACTGTAGAATCTTCCAGGACTTCTTTTGCAACCAAGTCTTGCTGGAATTTGAGGTATGCTTTGGATTATTGTCTTGTTGAAAGGTCCAATGACGCCCAAGCTTCAGCTTCCTCACTGACGACATGACGTTTTCTCCTAGGATCTCCTGATACTTCAATGGATCTATCTTGCCTTCCACATGCTGCAGTTTTCCAGTGCCGACTTTTCCTGTGCTTTTGGGTCAGTGGTGGTGTAGTACGGAACGTTTTTTCTGAACCTGCCTTCTCAGAAATCTGGTTGCAGCCATTGACAGCTTCCTCTTTCTGCCCTCTCCAGGTAGTGATCACTGTTCCTTTAACTCGCGAACTATACTTCCAACGTTGTCTCAAGGAACATCCCTTCGCTATCTTTTTGTCCTGTTCCTTGTTTGTGAAGGGTGATGTTATCTTGTTTTAACGTTTTGGACCATTTTTTAAACTATTTATCTATCATGCAGTCAAACGTGACACTCAACAAACCTAGCCAGTTCAGATATTACATGTGTTCTAGCTCAAGCACACCTGGTGCAACTAATGAAGCCCTTGAATAGTTGCTCCAGGTGTGCTTGAGGCTATGTTTACACGGAAGCGATTCTGAAGAGAAAACGCAAAAGTTGCGTTACTTCATCACTTTTTATTTTGCGTTTAGACGAGCGTTTTAATCCGCGTGTAAATGGTGACGCAAAAGTGTGTGAAATTCAATGTAGTATGCACTTCAGGCGGCTAGGAGTGCATACTACAACAACACCAAGTCCACGTGCCTGCGTACAACCTTCACTGTCGAGCAGACTTTTGCGTTTTAACCGTTTACACGGGAACGCGGCGGTGGAGCGTTTTTAAGATTTTCACTGTGGAGGGTGGTTTCACTATTTTGCGTTTTTAAGCCTCAAAAACGCTGTCGCCGTGTAAACGAAAGGCACATCTGATAAAATATTTTTACGTTTTCACCCGCAAGCGTTCTCGTGTAAACAGGGCCTTAGACAACACCTGTCTTGCAGATTTGTGCTGTTGTGAGGGATTCAATTTTGAGGCCGCAGAAGTCATTAAAAGTTGCAGTTTCCGTTGAATTTGGGGAAAACACTTGCCAACCTTTGTTGTGTTGATATATTTCAATTACTTTTGTTTGATTAGTTCAATACAAAAAGTAAAATGGATTATTAAAACGAAAAAAAGGGGCAAGGTTTACACAGATTAAATGATTGATGAGCTGAAGAAACTTGGTGAAGTCACTAGAGGCCAACTTTACTTTCAATCTCAGAAACTGGGGTGGACATTTTTGGTTATTTCGTTATACGTATATTATATTTGAGGTTGTTATCAGGGCCTTAAGGCAGTGCAACTTGTGCCGCATGAGGCCCCGTGGCGAATTGCCTTAGAGGGAAATGGATCCCAATTATACAGTAATCACATTATAGAGCAGTAAAGTTTTTTGTGCTTTCATAATGACACAAATATATTGTGTTTTTACACAATAATGCGAGCGATATTTCCTATCCGACACTCTCAATAATGAGACTATTGTAGAAGGAGCCTCCTATTGGAGTGAGACCATGACAGGATATATTATAATGTGTCTCCTGCAAGAAAGCAATACTTCACTGCACCCAGCTGCTTCCCACGAGGAAGTGTTTTATGAGAACCATATTAGAGCAACACACATCCCCACTTCTATAATATTTCTGCAAACGTTTAGCTGCCGTGCAAAGTGATCATTGATTCATTTAGCACATATTTATCTGCTCAAGGACACCAGATACATTTGGAGTGGTGGAGGGGAACGTTTTCGGCTGGCCCTGTAAGCCATTAAGCCCGGTAGATGCTTTCAGTTGGCTTCTGTCTCTCATGATCAACGACTCTGTTTTAGGGTCTGGTAGCGGCAATACCCCATTTATGTATTAGCAGCGGGTCCACCCTTAACCCGAGGATATATGTCTGATACACAACCACCTGTAATTATATTCTTCATGCAAGACCAACTTCCTTCAGTGCATTTCCCAGGCCAGAAAAAACACGAGATGAACCACAGAATGGAAAGCCAGTGACCCAAAATACTCTGGCACTTCTGGGGATTCAAAGGGGAACTCTGGCCTTTTGTTGTTTCAGCTGGAACACTTGTCCCCACATCTTGTTTATGAAAAAAAAAAAACTGGAACGATTGATGTCAAAGTCCTTTGAACGTTTGATTCAGATGAATGGGTGTCAGATGGCCTGGCTTAAAATGGTCTGGATTATCTCATTCTTGAAAGGGGACATCAAGAAAGTTACGTAATGTAATAATGTTTAGGCATCATCACAAACATTCGGCCTGTCCTCTCAAGATCAGATTCAATCAGCATAACTTTCCCAGAGTGTTTTTCAGAGTTTTTCAAAATGTATTTGTATGTCTTTGGATCCGTTCGCTAATGCCACAGTTTCAAGTCAAGTCATCTTCTTTTAACAAAGGATTGTTTCAAAGCGGCTTTACAGTGATAATATGAAATTAAAGTAACAGAGATTGTTTCGGTTTTATAGCAGCTCTAGAATAAAGTTATTTTTCAGCTAAAGTTTTGATGGATTCATTTGCGTTGCGACGATCATTAGTTATTATAGGTACTGCTAACATCATCGATTTCCATAATAAAGGCTTGATGTCTTACGGTGGAGTCTCTATCTATCGTCATCACCGGCAGCCATCTTGTCACAGGCAAGCTTTCTGGCGGGCTCTGTGGTACCTGATGTAAGATGAGTGATCAGCACGAACACAAATACTCTTATCTCGTTGAAATCTTGATGGATTTATAAATGGTTTGGTTTCTTACAAACGTTATTAACGTGGCTCTGGATGATTATTTATTTATACACTTATTATTCATTAGTATGCAGTGTCATAACTACATCTCTGACGTTTATAACAAACCAAACTGTTTGAAAATCGGTAGAAAATTGAGCAAGTTATGGTTAAAAAGTACATTCACCATTTAAACACAATGTTACGAGTGAGCGAGCTGCCTGAGACAAAACTGGCTGCCGGGTGCGGACGTCGACCTCCATTGGCCAGCAGCGCAGACGAGATATCCTTCCATCTAGCCCTTATAATGGATATCTATGGCTAACATGACACCGTTTTAAAAGAAAACTCTTTTAGTCCAATAATTAGAATCCCTGTTTTTTCAGAATTAAGTAGTAGGAAATTACTAGTCATCCAATTTTTTTCCAATGCATCAGCTATGCATTCCGTTAATGTTGTGAATTGGTAAGTTTCGTCAGAGCGTGAAGAAATATAGAGCTGAGTATTATCAGCATAACAATGAAAACTAATTCCATGCTTCCTAATGATATCTCCTAAGGGTAGCATGTACAGGATGAACAGCAACAGTCCTAGTACTGAGCCTTGTGGTACGCCATACTGAACATAACTTAATTTACTGTTACAAACTGATAGCGGTCAGATAAGTTACCATGCTAATGCAATTCCACTAATGCCAACATAATTTTTGAGTCAATAGTATCAAATGCAGAACTAAGATGAGTGAGATACAACCATGATCGGATGATAAAAGCAAATCATTTTTGACTGTCTCGGTCCTATGGTATGGTCTAAATCCTGACTGAAAATCTCTTTCTAAATTTATTTCTAAAAAGGAACATAGTTGTGAGGATACTGCCTTTTCTAGTATCTTTGACAGACAAGGTAGATTCGAGATCGGCCTGTAATTGACTAATTCTGTATGATCAAGTTGCTTTTTTTAACAAGTGGTTTAATCATAGCCAGCTCAGAAGTTTTTGGTATGTATCCTAGTGACAAAGAGGAATTAATGATATTGAGAAGAGGATCTATGCTCAGAAAGCATCTCTTTCAATAGCTTAGTGCCTTAGTCGGTATAGGGTCTATCATGTTGTTGATTTAGATGATTTAACGAGTTTAGACCATTCTTCCTCTTCTTTAGCAATGAATGAATCTAATTTTTCCTTAGGGAGACTACAATGCACTCCCTGATGCAATAATGTAGTAGACAGTTGCATAGTTATAATTTCCTCCCTGATATTATCAATCTTGTTAAGACTTTTTCTGTCTATCTATCTATCTATCTATCTATCTATCTATCTATCTATCTATCTATCTATCTATCTATCTATCTATCTATCTATCTATCTATCTATCTATCTATCTGTCTGTCTGTCTGTCTGTCTGTCTGTCTGTCATTTTCTGAAAGCATGTAGGCTACTTTCACAGAGATTAAGAGGGTTCCTCAAATACAGTTCAGATGCTCGGATGTTTCTTTCAACAACAGTTTATAGACTTGAAAAGAAAACGAGCAAAAAGTACAAGCAGTATTGTAATATTCACGTCGTAAATTCAATATGTTGCTGTCTTTTATTTTGAAACCTCGTGCAGCCGGTAGGCGGAAGTAAAGGTCTATGTTTACTT